ATTTATAATTATAATTTTTTTTAATATAAAATATATAATTTATAAAATTTATAAATATTAAAATTAAATTAACTTTCTTTTAATTATTAAGCTTTTAAATTATTTTAAGGCTTTTAATAAAGCTTTTTTTTTAAATAAAAGATTTATTTTAATAAGCTTATAATATTTAATTATATAAAATAAATTAAATCCTTTTTTTAAATAAAAACTTTAATTAATTATAAATATATCTTTTTAAATTATAATTATTTTAATTATAATATAATTAAATATAAATAAAGTTTAAATATTTAAAAAAGCTAACTTAAATATTTTTAAATAAGTTAAGAAATATTAATAACTTTTTTAATTTAAAAGTTATTAATAAGCTATTTAAAAAAAGCTACTTAAATTTATTATATTAATATATATTATAATTTTAAAAAGTATAATTATAATAAACTTTAAATAATTTATTTTTTTTTAAAAAAAATATTAAAATTATAATTTATACTTTATTATTATTAAAATTATTTTAATTAAGTTTTATTAAAAGTTATTAAATTAAAGTTATAATTCTTAACTTAATTATTTTAAAATTATTTTATTATTTATTATAAAAAAAAGCTTTAATATTTTATTAAAATAATTTATTTTTATTTTTAAACTTAATTAAATTAAGCTTTAATTTTATAAATTTTTTAATAAATTTATTTATATTTTATAAATTTTAATTATATTCTTTAATAATATTAATATAATTAAATTTAAATAAAACTTATTAAGCTTATAAGTTTTTATTTTAATTTTTTTAAAGGAAATTTAGCTTTTTTAAATTAAATAAATTTTAATTATATTATTTTATATAAATTATTTTATTTAAAATATTTAAATTTTTAATTAATAGTTTTTAATAAAATATATTTAAAGTTTAGTTAAAAAGTATTTTTTATTAATTACTTTTTTAAATATAATAAAAGCATTTTATAAAAAAATTAAGTTATAATAAAAGAAATATTATTTATATTATTAAATTATTAATTATATTTTATAATTTTTTCTTTTTATATTTTTAAATTATTATAAAAATTATTATAAGTAATATTTTTAATAATTATAATTAAATTTATAAAAAATAAAAAGCTTTTTTTTTTAATTTTTTTAAATATATTATTTAATAATAATACTTTTAATTATTTTTATTAAATTTAAAATAATATAATATTATTTAAATAATTTTAAGATTTAATTATTTAAATAAGAAAATTAATAAGTAATAATTTTAAAATTACTTAAAATCTTAATAATATTAATTTTATTAAATTTTAAAGTAATTAAATTATAAATTATAAATAAAGCTATTTATAATAAAATTATTATATTAATAAAAAATAAGATTTTTAAAATATTAATTTAAGTTTTTAATTTATTATTAATAATAAATTATAAAATTTAATTAAAATAAAGTTAATATTTTAATTAATAATAAAATAAATTAAGTTTTTTTTTTTCCTTAATAAGTTTTTTAAGATTTTTTTTTTTTAATTTTAAGTAAAAAATAAATAAATATTTTTTTAAGATTTAAAAGTACTTTTAAAATAAAAATAAATTTAAAAAGGCTTTAAGTTTTAAAAATATAATATATATATTATAATAAGTTTTTTTTAAAATAATAATAAAATAATAAAACTTAAAAGTAATAATACTTTTAATAAAATAATTATTTTTAAAAAATTTATTTTTAATATTATTTTAAAATATTTAAATTAAAGCTTAAAAAATAAAAAAATATTAATAAATATAATAAATAAAATAAACTTAATAAAAAAATATTTTATTAAAAAATAAATATTATAAATATATAATAAAAAAAGCTTTTTAAATTTATATTTAATACCTTATTTATTAATATTATATTAAATTTTTAATAAATTAAATTTAAATTTAATTAAAGTTTAAATAAAATTATATTTTAAGTTTAAGTTTTTTATATAATTTAATTAATATAAAAATATATAATATAATATTATTTATTAAATTTATAAATAAATAAAATAAGTATTTTAATTTTATATTATAATTTTTTTTATTTTAAATTTAAAATTATAATAATAATAATAAATATAAATTAAGAATTTAAAGTATTTTTAATTAATATTAAATAATATTTATAAAATTTAAATTTATTATTTTAATTTTAACTTTATATTATTATTATATTTTAATATATTTTTAATAAAAAACTTAAAATAAATTTAAAATTTAATAATATATTAATATAAAATTAAAATAATATTTTATTTAAATATTAAAAGTATAAAAAGTATTTTAAAATTAAAAAATAATCTTAAAATACTTATAATATTATTATAAATATAATTATATTTAATTCTTTTTTATAATAAGTTAAAAATAAATATAAGCTTTAATTAAAGCTTTAAGTTAATATATAAAATAATTTAATAATATTTAATATAAAAATAAAAAGAAATAAAATTAATAAATAATTAACTTATAATTAATATTTTATTCCTTTTATTATTAATTAAAAATATATAAAATTAAAATTATATTTAAGCTAAATTATTATTAATAAAAATAAGCTATTTAAATAAATAAAAAATAAGTTTTATTAAATTCTTTTAAGGGTAACTTAAAAAGAAGCTTTAATGTAATAAAGAAAGAAGATAAAAATAAAAGGAAGTTAAAAAAGGGAAAAGGTAAATATTTTAAAGATTCTTAAAAATAAGAAAAGCTTAATTAAAGCATTAAATATATAAAAAAAGAAAAGAGTTAATTTCTTTTAAAATATTTAAAATAAGCATAAAAGCTAACTTTTTATAGCCAGCCGGAATTTAATGCAATACTATTTCTTATATATTTCCCTGCCCTTGTTAATAATATATTACTTAATATTTTTTTAAATAAATATCTTAAGCTTTTAATTTTAAATATTAATAATTCTTTTCTTAATACTTATATAAATAAATATTAATTAATTAATTTAAGGTTATTAAAAATTATATTATTTTTTTATATTATTATTTTTAAAAAATATAATTATAAAATTAAATCTTAATATAATTTTTATATTAATATTTATAACTTTTTTTTATATAAATAAATTTATATAATTTAACTTTTATATTATTACTTTTAATTTTAATTAATAATATATTATATAAAAAAATATTATTTCCTTTTTAAATTAAATAATTATAATGCTTTTAATATTAAAATTTAAAAAAATAAATAAGGGTATTATTATTTTTATTATTATTTTAAATAATTTAATTTATGCTTATAATTATATAATATCTTTCTTTTAAATTTTATTTTTATTAATTTAAAGTTTCTTTTTTTATTATATTATTAAAATTATTAATTTATTAAAAAGTAATTAATATTATATAATGTTATATTATTACCTTTAGCTTTTTTATTTATAAATATTTTAATTATAATATTTATAAAAAGGTTATGCTTATTATTATTATTAATAATATTTTTAAAGAAATATATATAATATTTAATTATTAAAAAAGCGTTATAATTAAGTATTACTTTAAAAGTTATTTTAAAATTATTTTAATATTATAATATTATATGCTTTATAACCTTAATATAATTATTTTTTTATTATAAATTAATTTAATAAATTTAATAAGTTTAAATTATTTTTAATTTATATTTATTTATAAAAATATATTATATATTAAGTTATATATTAATTAATTATATAATTAATTAATAATTTTTAAACTCCTTAAGTTAATTAATAAAGTAAAATTTATTTATTACTTTTTTAATATATAATATAATAATTAATAATTAATAATATTTATATAAATAAAAATAAATAAATAAAAAGTAATATATTTCTTATTTATATTTATTTAATTCTTTTTTTCTTCTTTATTTATATTATATTATATTAATAAAAGCTAATTATAACATTATCTTTTTATTATTTACCCTTTTATTTTTATAAAAAGTTATTTTAAAAACTTTTTAAATTTTAATATTTTTTAATAAAAAAATAAAGAAATATTATTATAATTTTTTAAGGAAGTAATTTAATAAAAAAAGGGTTTTACTTTTTTATATTTTAAATAAGGGGCTGTTTTTAACTTATGCTTACTTATAAGGGCATGTTATGTGCTAGGTTATATGCCAGCTAGTTGCATAGCTAGCTCGTGACCCTCGGACCTTCCGGGCCGGCCAATAAAGTTAAATTTACCCATCACCTCTTTTGATATGCAGTGCAGTGGCCAGCAGATTTCATGTTAAGGATCTTGGTCCCGTTGATCGCCACAAGTACAATCCCAGTAGGATTCAGCGTGGTACTTTTGTCGTTGCAGTAAATCCGCCTGTTCGGCCGGGATCACCGGATACGACCGTCTTCAACCACGGAAACGTTCTGCCAAAACTCCTTGAGGCCTTTTAGTCGGAGATCTCGTGTTTGGAGAAGTACCTGTGTTTCTCAGTGATGAGATGCTGACCATTGTGGTAATAGTACAGGTCGTCTCGAATGTGAAGAATGAGGCGGTGCATCAGTACTCTGGTCTCTTGCTACGCCATTTCATGCCCTGCGAAGGAAGCGTCGACGACGAGTTGCACATACCAATGACAGAGCACTTGAGGGTGTCGACAGCGGTGAAAACCCGTGAAACTAGAATCGGCTATTGTGGCACAAGCCGCCACGCTTACTTTGTACACGACCAAGCCAGGCTGTATGCTCTTGGCAGGCGGATGTTATGTAGATCATGCCGCCTTAGACGAGTCCTTCATCTAGCGTATTGCGAACGGTTGACCAGCCAAGTGAATGAGCCATAATGAGCACTGATACATAAGCTTACACACAACGACACATGACGTCTCGAATTCAATGTTGGCCAAGGTTGCTCGCTGTTCGTCTCTGTGGTAAAACTGTCACCTCACGACTTATAAAATGAGCATAGGCTCACCTGGTTAAGTCAGGAAAAACATGTTATCTTCACAATCACCCTATTGTTACTACAATGCAATACAATTCACTATTCTGGCTTTTGTTGGGACTGACTGGTTGCTCAGCAACTCAAGTTGTTGCAACAGATGAAGTTCCTATTCTGGGTCCATCCTTTATCGCCAATTTTGACAGTTCCAGGGCTCAGGCGATCAATGAGGCCAAATCCGAGTTTCCGGGTATCATTGAAGACCTGTTCTCATCCGGCGACCTGAACCGAACAGACCTAATCTTCGCAATTGATGTCTTCTCCGCCTCGACCAATGACTCCATCTACAGCTACTACCATGTTGGCGAGGGCCAGGAATATGCCCTTGGCGCAGGAAGGCTTGATGATCACACTGTATCGCGAATCGGTAGTGTATCAAAACTCTTCACCGCCTACGCCATCATCGCCCAGGCAGGCATAAAAATTTTCAGTCACCCTGTGACGAAGTACTTGCCTGAACTCGCAAGCAACTTGACAAGCAATCCACTGCAGAGGATCGACTGGAATGATATTACGGTCGGGGCACTTCTTTCCCAACAGGCCGGCTCCGGAGGAGCAGGAGGTATATATATATCTGAGTGGGCTCATATCCTGTCACAACCCGCAAGCTTACTAGTTTTGCAGGCTTCTTCGAATACACCGACAATGATGTCGCTAGGCAGAAAACAGAAGGTATGATTAACAGCTTTAAACATCACGGCATGCATTAACCAAAAAATACATCAGAATTTCTGAAGTATATGCGAGATGAGCAGCACCCGGTGATTTCACCCTTTCGGACAGCTGCATATTCGGATGCCGGATACGCCGTCCTGGGTGAGGTACTTGCTCGCCTTTCCGGAAGCAACTATCTCGATGCCTTGCACAATTCCGTGTTGGACCCCTTGAGGCTAAATGAAACTTCGACAACAGCACCGACCGGCCCGGGTGCCAACGTGATCGACCGCTCAAGCCAAGAGAATAGCTCGTGGGGTTACGATATTCCACTTTATGAAGGGTGGGTTTCATTGACAAAGATGACCGGTCTGCAAGTCCAACTAACTCTGCTTCAGTTCTGGCGGCGTTTACACGAGCCTAGCAGATCTTCGAGCTACCGGACTCTCCATACTCAATTCCGAGATCCTGCCTCCAACCACCACCCGAGAATGGATGAAGCCTCACAGCGGAACTGGCTCACTTGTAGGGCTCGTGGGTGCGCCATGGGAGATCACCCGCCTAATGATTCCGGTCAGCCCGACCTCGAACCGCACCCGTGTGTGCGATCTCTATCTCAAAGCAGGCGGTAATGGTGACTACACGAGTGTAATTGCTCTCTCCCCTGACCATGGACTCGGATATTCAATCTTAGTAGCCGGCTCTAATGCCACTGACTCTCGTTGGCCAATACGCGACGCACTTGGGGAGACATTCGTGCGAGCCGCAGAGTATGCCGCCGCAGAAAACGCTCGAGACAGCCTGTCGGGCACATTCGTCAGTAACTCATCAGAGGGGACCAACATGACACTCACCGTGGACGACGACCAGCCCGGCCTCGGATTAGAGTCATTCTATGTCAATGGCGAGGACACCCTCGGGAGCGCCGCAGCGCGTCTCTACCCGACTGGTCTGTATGCGGATGGGACTTCCTTAGCCACCCAATACAAGGCCGAAGGAACAATTCTGGCATCACATCGTATGATTGCCAGTGGGCTTCCGCTTCCCCCCCGCGCTGCAGTGGAAGGAGGCCAGGGCGGCGGTTTGTTTGACCATTCATTTGTTTGGCTCGGCGTCGGGTTCTTTGGATCTCTCGACGAGTTCATCCTCGAACTCGTTGACGGACGCCTCGCGAGCATTAGGGCTCCCTATTATGATCTCGTGTTCAATTGAGTGGAACTATAGAGGTTCTTTGAATATAGAGCGTTTCTAACACAATTTTCCATCTCTTTCGAGTTACTCAAACCTGAATTGGCGGCAGGAGAAAAGGAAAGAGAATAGGGAGATCGGGTATCAATGTGTTGATGATAGGGAAGATCGTTTTCAAGACTCTGCAAAGCCAGAGGCTAGATTGCTTAAGCGTTTTTTTCCGGTGAACACTTCAGATCTCGGTTCAGCACATGAGTGGTTACACACATGCGGCTATCATTAAATTGCTTCGGAATCCTTCTTGCTACCTATGTCGTCTCTGCGCTTATTACTGCTGCCCCCGTGAAACTGAGCCGCTAGGAGGCTAACGTACGCGAGAGAATTCAGTGATTTTTCTTTATAAGGCCGCCACAACCTCTTTTCACAGTATTGTGTTATCTAAGTTTATGGGAAACCGAGGTGGCGTTATAGATTTCAAGAATGAAGACTCTACAAGAAGCTTTACAACGAGAACTGGGTGGGGACAAGAGCAATTCAGATAGGGATAAGCTGAAACGAAGTTGAGACAACTAATGATCAATCATTTCAAACCGAAAGATACTTATGTGAGTGCTGGTCTACTCTACCTCACAATGCTTAATGACGAACAAATCTATCCTGAGCTCGCCACCCCCGTTGCAATTTTTGCCCTGTGGCGGATTCGTCATGGCAGGCTGGATGGAGCCCTGGTCCAGCTGTTTGTGTGGCGAGAGGCCTCCTGGTAAGGATGAGCTCATTTGGTGTCATCGAAAAGCTACCTGTCGGTGTATATGTAATCAGACAGCCGGGCGTGGTGATGCAATTCGCGTGTCTGCCGGCAACATCACCGTTGCACACCTGACATGGCAGCTTAAGAAACACGCGTGTCGGGCGAGCCGTTCTCGCCAGAAATTGGGGCATCAGTCGGCGGTCGAATCAAGAAGCGTTATGCGAATAAGTAGCATGTCATCTGGGGGGAATGAGTAAGGACGGGCATGTGGCAGCAAGGTCAGGGATGAAAAGGGGTAGACCGAGAGGGAATTGGATCACCAATGAAGCATTCTACTTGAATGAGAACCTTGTAATTATGACAAAGCATCTGATGCGAGTTGCTGTGATATTTGCAGAGCATCTTGCAGGCCCAAACACATCTACGCAATTGTAAATAAATGGATCAGATAGGCGAAACACACTTTCCATGGGCGCCAGACTTCATGGCGGTGTGTGCACGGTGTGTGCACGCAATCCGCCTTTCAAAATCACCTTTGACGCGTCTTTCTTTGTATTCTGTGGTTCGTGACCCCGGCTCGAAACATACCCACAGTTACTCCTGAATCCCTCCCCGGTGGGGCTACCAGACAATTGCACATTGCTCATTCATGCAGGGATTTCCATTTTCATTCTCCGTCTTCCCTGCGGGCATGTGCGCCCAGCCAGGAATGCAATAATTGAGTTTGAGTTTGCCGTCTGTCCACCCGGGCAGGGTTATCTGGTTTACGCTGAAAAGTTTTAGTTACTCAAGACCGGCGCCCGCGACCATGGTGACCAACAAATCGAGCCAAGTCAGCAGTGCCAGCACCGTCAGCACGCAGACGTCACAGATCCATCGCGATCTCCTTGCGGCTTCCGCCAAGGGCAACGAGGAAAAGGTTCGCTCTGTTCTCAAGGAGGGTTCGCCATGGAGTTCCTCGAAAGACCAAGCCGCCCTGCGCAAGGCCCTGCAGAAGGCCTCGGCTCGCGACAACCTCAACATCATTGACCTTCTGCTGAGAAAAGGTGCCGAAGTCGACGCTCAGACTGAGGATGAGTTTCCTGCCCTGTTTCGCGCGGCCCAGACAGGCCAGACGGCGGTACTGGTCGAGCTATTATCTCAGCGACCAGATCTGGAAGCGCGCGACCGAAGCGGGCAGACTCCCCTGTTCGTTGCGAGCGTCAAGGGCTATGCAAACATCGTCGAGTTGCTCCTCGCCAGAGGCGCCGTTGTGGATGCATTAGACAAGGACGCACGCACCCCTTTACTGGCCTTGGCCGCCGACAAGTCGAGCGCCTCAGCGTGGAACACCGGCGCCAGCGAGGTTGTCCGCTTGCTCGTCAGCCACGGCTCCAATGTGAATTTCAAGGACAAGATTGGCCGAACTCCTCTCCTGTGGGCGGCCACGAACGGACACTACGATCTGGTCAAAACACTTTTGGAGACGGGCGCAGATGTCTCCGCGGTCAACAACAGAGGCCGCACAGCGCTCCACTTGGCCGTGGATAGCACCGACACGACGCACATCGAAGAGATCATGAAGATTCTGCTCCAGTACCAGGCCGATGCGCGCGCCATCAGCGATGGTGGATGGACACCACTTCACAATGCTGCCCAGAAAGGTCTAACATGCGTGGTCGAGAGGCTGCTGGAAGCCGGAGCTTCAATCAATGCCAGGCTCTCCAACGGCATGACAGCTCTACACTGGGCCGCCTTCAATGGATTCGAGGATGTGGTGAATGTCCTGATTTCCGAAGAAGAAGCAGACCTGGGCATCAAGGACGGATTCGGTCGAGCACCATGGCTCTGCGCTGCCGAGCATGGGCACTACGAGCTCATCGAGTTACTCTCTCCGGTGCGAAACAGCCACAGGCTGCCTCGTGTGGTGCAAGACGCCTGCAAAGCATTTACGGCCACTGTGGTGGAGTTCAAGGAGTTCGGCGAGAAACAGCGCAAATTCAAGCATTCTGTGTACGATGTCCTCTACGGATGGAACCAGAAGAACGAACGACCCAAGGTTCCGGTTTGGACGAGCTCAGCCGGTGTTCAGAATGACTTCAAATGGATCCATCTTCCTACCAACAATGTACGCTGCCATGACCCTGTCTCAACCAACGGCTTGCTTTTCAGAAGCTTACTTATATCTCACAGATTGCCTGGGTCGAGACGCTCCTGATCAAATGGTTCATCGAGTCCGGCTGTCGGGACCTCGAAGGCTATAAGGCTCTAACAAAGTGTCTCGAGCAAGAACACCGCGGTCCACTGCCGCATGGAAACTTCATGAGGCCTTACTGCCAACGCATTTCATCCCTGCATCCTAGCGAAGAGCCGGGCCTTGAACCGGACCTGCTGGACATCCGCCCGTCTCCGGTTCGCCGGAGCGAGAGCAACCTGTCACAAATGACCATCACCCAGAGGGTTCCTGGAGGAGATGGGAAAATAGTGCTCTTTGTATGTATCATTGAGTGGCATACTAAAACCATTACTAATACGGTCTGTGTGCAGATGCCGTACCTTCATTACGAGACTGATGAAGGGAGGCAGAAAATGACGGACGCAATGAAGCTTGTGGGGGCTGCAGATGAAACTTCGTCCATCAGTTCCTCGCCAAACTTGTTGCTACTCCAGGCTTACTTGCACGGCAAGACAAAGATCCATCCGCGAAGGACTCTAGACCAATTCTTCTACCATGGCCTGGATACAAGTGCAAGAGATAGGGATCAGGTCGTGTACCGATATTGTGAAAGCCAAGGTCAGTTGACTTGTCCGCAAACTGTTGGGCGCTGTGTCCTCAATCACACTGTCCCGCAATTTACATCCCCACTCGAATCCAAACGACATAAAGAAACTCATACGTAGCAGGGCGTCAGCGAAAGATCTTTATGGTGGATCAACTTTGGCTTTTCGTACTTAGCAAAGGTTCGTCGGCTCATACGGCATCAGAAGCAGCCCAATGCTAACGCTGTTAGATCTTGTCGTGACGTGCTTCCCAGGACGTTGGGAGCACCAAACCAGAGACCCTCTCAATGTCTTGGACGGTATCATGGAGGAAATGAATGCCAAGACCCGCCCGGCCGTACGATCAGCCTATGACCTCGCCATTCTGATCTCATCCCGATGCTCTGGAAGTAAGTGCAGCTAAACACCTGCTTTATCTTTTCGTGTGTCATGCGAAACCCGCCCCTGGGGTGTGATTCTAACAGCTCGCCTCAATACAGTGTTCTCACGGCACAGGTCGGACGATCAGAACTACCAGTTTCTTGACATGTTTGAAAGCTCCGTAGGTCGAGTTACCGAGGAACTGACACAACTGTTCCACAACTTTGAAGAAGCATCCACCCAGTCTAGTCAATGGCTGCGCCCCAAGCGACGACACAAGCTCCTCAAGCGCTCGAAGGATAGCCACGAATCGTTCGATCCATTATTAGACATTAGAGCCGAAACCTCGCTTCTCACTGAAGTAAGGGACAGTAAGTAATTTCCAGAGCATTGTTCACGCCTTACTCGCGGTGGTAAATTCTTGGCTGAGTCTCTCGATAGCTAACTCCAAGCACTGCAGTCCGTGACGAGCTAAATATCCTCACAATGGTCATCAATTCACAGCTCTTCACCCTGGGAGACTTCCGAAGTTGCTTGATCGACGAGCTCAGCAACGACCGATACGGCCCCAGCAAAAAGGTCTCGAGCTTCGTCATGGACATTCGCAAGCGAATGTTGGACCAGGAGCGCAGGCTCAAAGTGCACAAGCGCGATATTGACGCAATGGACGAGCAGTCCGAGAGACTTTACAAAAGTCTGAGAGATCTCCTAGACCTCAAGCAGAAGCACTCCAATGCTCTAGAGGCTCGCTTCTCCAGCGAGCAGGCGCTCGCTGCAGCAAGAGAGGGCCAGACCATCATGGTATTTACCATCGTGACCATTATCTTCATGCCTATGTCTTTCATCGCCGCATACTTCGGAATCAGCATGGACAGCTTTGGTGACAACCTGCCTGACTCGTACGTGAACACTTGGACCTTTGGCGGGGGGTTGGCCATCTCAGTCCTGTTCATCCTCATGGCTTTCACTGTAGTGGACATCACCAAAGCTGTTGAAGCATTCTATTCTTTTACAAAACGACGTTTCAACACGAATGCGTCGCCGCCTCAAGAAGCACTAGAGACACAGCCGCTATACCGGACCATCACTCCAGCAAAGGGCGGCAGTAATCAGACCGTCGTATACAGCGGGGAGATGGATGAGGGTGGAAGCCCGGGGAAGATGTACCGGGAGTATTCGAAGGCATCAGGAGTGAGTGTGATGACGAGAACCTTGTCGCATATCTCCAGTTGGCAGGGCACCCCAAAGGAGGATGTTGAGAAACAGGCTGCAAGAGGAAGAGGAGCATACCTTTATCCGTGAATATGTTTGTGTCAGTCTATGGCGGCCTTGATACATATTGGTATTGTTTAATGATTGGAAGGGTGTCTTCACAGTACGAAAACTCGGATTAAATGATCGGCACTCATCATAATTATTTCAATGCTTGCTTGATTAAACTCCCCACCGCTATCAATACAAACCCAAACTGGATAAACCACTGGTAATATATGAAAAGGTCTCTATAGCTCACCTCTGAGTCTTTGACAATGTGCCTATCACGATGCTGCAATTGTGCTCGTTGTCTGCTGTCTTTCCATGCTCCCTCATTCACCGTGATCTTCGAGCAAGTCCATCATGTACCGACTTTGAAGGGACCACTCGCCTAACTGCGAAGATTGCATATTTGCTGCTTCTCCTGAGTGGTTTGCAATCACTTCTCCGACTTGCCCGCTATCTATGGCGAGACTGGCATTCGCTCGGGGGGAGGAAGGGTCGTAAACGTTTGGAAGGGCGGTTCCGTCAGCAACGCCTGTCGGATTACCTGTGACGGTGGATGTGTAAGGCTGGAACATAAAGTGATCCAGCGTAGTCAAGGCTTAGAGGTTCTGCCAGTTTATAGGGACGGTTGTGGGCGCCGTTTCTTGGTAAATCTGTTCGAAGGACACAGCGTTGGCCGTCGGCGTCGCTCGGGTTTTCAAGTCAACGTACTGGCAGGCAGCGGTATGGAGGGGCTTCAACGTTTTCAAAAGCCGAGATGCACTAAAGTAGACTGATTTTGGCGCGCTTCCAGGGAGGCTAGAAGTGAGCCCAGCGCTTCCAGCTCAATTGTATTTACCGTCCAGATCGCGGTGGAAAGCAGGACGAAAAAAGGCACGAAGGTAGACGATAACAATGTCCTGTGTGAAATAGGTGTCAGTTTACCGAGGATACCCATAAGTACGAAGAAACCGACCAATCTATGTACATGTCGAAGAGATGTATGCCATGGTAGTCGATCAAAGATATGCTCTTGTTATGCTCTGCGAGTGCCTCTCGGGCTGTGTTGATACACTCGCGGTAGAATGGTTCATTGTCTCTAGTGGGAGACATTCCGCGGTAGATTAAGCACATGGGAGAGAGAGGTTCGAGACCTTTTCGCACTGTGTGAGAACGTCGTCCAACTTATCTCCCACTACGCGGCGCCTTTCCCGCAGAAACTCTGTCTGTAACGATCAGTTAGCGGCTTCGACCAGTGACAGTGTGTAACAAGAGGTGGGTGACTATTTGGAGCATCTGAACATGCCTCAGAAATACTTGAGTCATTAATAATGTCTTTCATGTCGGCTATCAGTCGCCTTGACTTGGACATTGATGCAGTGCGTCCGGACTGTAGATCTCGTCATACACTCTGCCCTCAATTTGTGAAATTCGCAGCCACTTTGGTGAGAGAACACCAAGGGAGCCTCCCATTTGGTACACCATACGGACATGCTTCAGGGGTATTGTGATATCATGGTCGCGCAGTGTTGACGATCGACCCAGTTGCAGGGAGAGGTTTTTCTCGAAGATGAACATGGGCCAAAACAATTTCACCTTTTGACGAGTCTCGGGATTGAAGTCTTGCTCTTGTTTGGAGGCTACGCGATGCAAGCCCATGGTCTGGCTCATCCGGGATGCTGTGCTGATGTAGGTCCATGCCATGGTTGCTTTGCATTGACTAATGCAATATTCCGTCTGCGGTTGTACTGGCGTCTCAGCTTCGGTACAGTTTAGAGAAGGGCGATACTATCAAATCATGTCCTTGGATATGGACCGCACGAACAGCACTGGAGGCAGATGTGCACTTACAGCCATAGTCAGGGCGAGGACATGATCCATGTTCGCGGGTAGATGGAATGGCAGCTGCGCGAGGACCACGTCGGCGTGCTCGCGGCATCCTTGTGCTTCAGCAGCGCAACTCGATTTGATCGCGGGATCCATGGCAAAATGACTGCATTGTGTAAACAGCCAGTGAAGACCAATATACGTGATGATCAACTCCGCCGGGGATGGTCGCGTGTCTGTCGAGTCAGCACTGAGCAACTGCTCGGTAACTTGGCCGACTGATTCAAACTCCATGGACCAGAAGAACCTCATCACTGGGTTCTCTGTGCTCACATCAGTGTTTGTTTCATGCCACCCCAATAGATTGCGGCTTAAGCAGGAGTCAGGGTAAGATGAGCAACAAAGAGTACGACTGACCTTTCAACATGCGCAGACAATTTAGCGTCAGTTGCACCGGGGGCAAGGATGGTCGCCGAGGTTCCGAAGCAGGTGTTGGACCGTTGTTACCCATGTTGTCAGCGTCATTGGCTGATGCCGACATATTGGCGTGCTGCATGTTTCGTATCATCGAGGCCAATTCACCGCATCGTGACATGGACAAGTCTGTTGTCACTGCACCCTCCAACACCCGTGCCGTGAAATTCGCATGTGCAGCTAGGGACGAGTCGCCCTCATATTCCGTCTCTTGTCCCCGCGAAATGTCTTCTATTCCATGGCTTCGAAACTGCACCGAGTTTTGAGGGGAGGAACCATCGCCTCTGGGGTGGTCCACCAGCGTTTCCACCGTGGTTGGTATTGTTGTCGGCTTATCGACCGGACTGGGACGGTTTCCCTCTTCCAACATGGTGCACAGCTCATGAAGCTTGTTGGAAATGTCGTCGATTTTATCTTCCCTGCTTGCCCCTCAGCATGGGTGACAACCATCATTCGGCCTCAGAGACCCACAGCTGACCCAGCGGGGCAGACCGGCGGTCTTGTTTTGGTCTCGCTTTGTATCCCATCGCATATGTGCACTGTGAACCTGTTCGACAGCACCTCGAACAAGGCGATTGACGATCGCAGCCGACCTGGTGATCAAGAAGTCAGCTCTCGCAACTTCGACACGTTCCGAAAGTGGTTCAGGAATACCTTTCGCAGGCGGCAGCTATCACACTGGAGCGAGCATTTGTTCCATGTTAGCCGTGCGTTTTGTGAAGGTGGGACTGCGCACCCGTCCACGATGTCATTGATAACGGATATCCAATATCCACACGTTTGCAGAGCGATTTCGTGTCTTCCGTTGTCGGAAAATGCAAATGAGACTGTGATGGGGGCACTGACAGACAGCTCATTTTTGAGGACTAGAGGGCTTGGCATGTTTCGGGTATAAGAACACGTCTCATGCCCTCTCTTAAGGGCTTGCCTTTTTAAATAACTAACTTAAATACACTCTTTTAACCCATTAATTTAATAATTATAAGCTTAATTTACCAATTTCCCTCTTTTTTTATAATTATTATTAAAATAATCCTTTTATTTAATTATTATATATAATTTTTTTATATCTTTTTATATTTTTATATTTAAATATAAAGTTTATAAGATTAACTTAATCTTTATATTATTATTATTATAATAAATTTATAAATATTCTTTTTAATATTAATATTTAAAGTAATTATTATTAATAAAAATTAATATTATATTAAAAATTATAAGGATTTTTATATTTTATAAAAAGCTGCTTAAAATTTTAAATAAAGCTTAAAATTAAATGCTTTATTATTTATTATTATATATAATAAAGCTTTTAAAAATTAATTTTAAAAGTAAAACAAAATATACTTTAAAGGTAACTTATTAAAATTATTATATAAAGTTTTATAATATATTAAATTAATAAATTAAAATATATAAAATAAAACTTATTTATAATAATTATTTAAATAATTATATAATAAAGTAAGTAATTTATTTAAGCTTTTATAAAAACTTTTTAAAACTTTATAATTTTTATAAAAGTAAATATATAAATAATTATTTAAAATAAGTATTATAAAGTTTTTTATAAACTTAAAATAAAAAATAATAACTTTATTATTTAATTTTAATGCTTTTAAAAAGCAATTTTTAATATAAAGATATATAAATTATAAAACTTCTTTTATATTATAAATATTTAATATTAATAAACTTAAATATATATATAAATTAATAAAATTATAAAAATTAATGTTTTTAAATATTTTTAATTATAATAATTAATTAATTAAATAAAGTAATTTAAAGTATTTATTATAAATAAATAAAATATAAATATAATATTTTAAAAATATAATAATTATTTAATAATTAAATATTTTTTTAAATATATTTTAAATAAAAAAATAAAAAAAAAGTTTTAAAAGTATTTCTTTATTTTTTTAAATAAATATTATTCATAAATTCTTATAAAATTATAAAGCCTTAAATAAAAAGAAATTTATTAAGCCTTTAAAAATAAAAAACCTTAATTTAAAAAGTATTTAAAAATTTATAAGTTAAATTAATTATATAAATAATCTTTTTTTATTTAAATTTAATTAAAAGATTAAGCTATATAGTATATTAATTATATATTTAACTTTTCTTTATAAAAAACATAAGTTTAAACTTTATTATAACTAATAAAACCTTTTTTTAAAATTCTTTTCTTAATTATTTAAGGCCTTATTTAACTCTTTTTAATTAATAAAGCATAAAGATAAAAAAGCTTTATTAATATTAATAAATAATAAGCCTTTAAAGTATGCCTTAAACCTTAAAAACCTTAAGTTAATAATATTTAAATTATTAAATACCTTATTATAAAACTTTATTATAAAAAGTTAATAAAATAAACTAATAAATAAGCTTTATATAAATAAAAATAACTTAAATTATTTAAATTATTATACTTTTCTTAATAAAAAAAATAAATTTTATATTAAAGCATTATAAAATAAAAAAATATTAATATAATAAATAGCTTTTAATATACTTTAAATAAAGAAGATACTTAAGCGTAGTTTATTAAAGCTTTAACTTACTCTTAATAAAGTAATAATAAAAAAGTTTTTTAAAGAAAATTGCAATATTTTAATCTTTTTAACTTTAATAAAAGTTTTTTTAAAATAAATTTATAATAAAGGAATGGCTTATATACTTATTATATATAATTAAAGTATATATTATAAAATATTATTATATTATTATTTTTAATTTATAAGCTATTAATTAAAATATTAAAATTTTATAATTATAATTAAACGCCTTATTAAAATTTATAATATTAATTATTATATTTAAAGATAATAAAGATAAAAATTCCTTTATTATAAATAAGGAAATTAAAAGTATATTAAAAATTAAAGGGCTTAATATATTTTAAGTATAAAAATATATATTATACCCTTTCTCAAAAGCTTGCATTTTTAAATAATTAACTTAAATATACTCTTTTAACCCCTTAATTTTATACTTATGGCGCATATATCCAGCATGCTTTTAAGGATTAATAAAGCTATTAAATCCAATTAATAATAAATATATCGTAGTTAAACGGTCCTATGGTAAATTTATTATTAATTTACCAGGGAATAATAATTTACTAGTAATTTATTATAAATTTATAATAAATGCCTAAGGCATTAAGATTTATAAATAAAAATCAGCCCTTACCGTTTATTAACTTAAAAATAAAAAAAAATAATTAAGTAATTATTATATTAATTATTAAAATTAATTATATTTATAAGGATTTTATTATAAGATATGTATAAAATTTAATAATTAAGAGTTTTATTACCTTTATTAATTAAGAATTATAGCTAATAACTTAAATATTAAGACCCTTACGTTCTTTTTAATAAAAGCAATTAATTAAAATAATTAAAACTATAAATTTAAATTATAAGTTATTATATATTAATTTAAATTGCATATTTATAAAAAGATATCGCTCCTTTTTATACTTAAAATGCTAAATATATATTATAAGAAATATATAAAGAAATTATATATATAGTAAAATATTTAATTATAAATAATATAAGGCAAGAAAGAAAATAAAGAAATTATTTAAGAAAAAGAATAAGGCGCTTAAATAATAAGCAATTTAATTAAAAATAAAGTTAAACTCTTTAATTAAGACTTAATTTAATTTAAATAATTTAAAGTAATTTAAGAAAAATAATAAAAAAGAGTAAATAAGTTTACTTAATAAATATTTTAAATAATATTAAAAACTTATAAGGTAATATATTATTAATTTAAGGATTTATTATAAAAGTAATATAAAAATCTTTAAAAATAATGCGCTTAAATTATAAAAAATAAAATAAAATAACTTTACTAAGTATATAAGAAAGTTCTTTGCTTATTAAGATTAGCTAAAAATGCTTATATATAAATTAATTAATAAAAAAAGATAATATTTAAAGGGATTAAGAAAAACCTTTTAAAAACTTAAAATATTATAATATTGTTTTTAAACTTTTTATAAGTAATTAAAGGAATTATATTTATATAAGCAACTTTTTATAAATAAATATAAAAATAAGTAAAAGTAAATAAAAGCTTTAAATATTATAAAATAAAATAGGATTTTTGCTAAGAGTTAAAGAGCTATTATAATTTATAAAAGAATAAAATTATAAAAAAGCCTTTATAACTATTTATAATAGCTTAAATAGCTATAATAATAAAAATAAGGATATTTATATTATTAAAGATTTAAAAGCCTTATAATAAGGTATAAATAAATTTTATAAGAAGAAATATAAATAAGCTTCTTTAGGAAAATCCTTAAAGATAAAGTAATATGCTATATATAAATACCTTTATACCTTTATTAAATGCTTTTATATATTTTTTAAAAAGGCTTATAAAAATTAAAAGTTAAATAAGAAAATTTAATAAATAATATAATATATACTTAATAATAAAGTTAACTTTTAAGCTAAAGTTTAAATTTTTTATAAGTTAAAATTTAAATTTAAGTTTTAAATTTTAAAGCTAATTAAAAAAAAGTTAATATAAGAAGTTAATAATTAATTATTAAAGTATTATATAATAAGTATTAAGGTTAAGAAAGCTTTTATTATAAATATTATAAGAAAATACTTTTTAAAGTACTTAATAATATTAAACTTAATAAATATAATTTTAATTATTAATAATAATTAATAGCTAATAAATTTATAATTAATTATTTATAATAATTATATTTTTATAAGTAATTATTAATTATTAATTATTATATATAAAATAATATTAATAAAAATTAATAATTTTATTTTATATTTTAAAAACGTTGCCTTATATTTATAAATCTTAACTACCCTTATTTTTTTAAAATAACTTTAAAGAATAAGCATATTTTAAAATAATAAATATAAATTAATTACTTTTTAATAATATAATAAAATAATTCTTTATTAACTTATAAATATTTATAATTAATATATTATTAAATATTATTTTAATAAAACCTTAAGCCTTTTTAATATATAAAGAAAGAAATATATAATTTATACTTAAAGAAGATTATTTATAAGCAAAGCTATCTTTTAATATAAAAAACTTAGCTATTTAAAATTAAAAATATTTAAATATTTAATAAATTTATTTTAAGGGATATATATATATAAATTAATTATAATAAAATGCAAAGTATGCGCCCTTATTAAGATTATATAGTATATTTATTAAAAATTAAGGGAAATTTATAAATAAAAAGATAAAAGGATTGCATTAAACTTTTATAATTATAAAAAAGGAATTTATAATTATATATTATAATTCTTGCTTATATATAAAGTCTTTAATTATATATAAAATTATTACCTTATAAATTAAAATAGCAATAGCTTATTTTATATTCTTAAGTCTTTTTATAAAATAATAAAATAATAATATAAAATTAAGATTAAGGTTATTAAATATAATAAGGAAGTTTTTAATTATAAATAAGCTATTAAAAACTTCCTTAAATCTAAGTATATTAAATTAAAGCCTTTAATATTAAATACTTAAATATAAAATAATAATATTAAGTACTTAAAGAGTATAATTAAGGAAAAAATATATATAATATAAATAAATTTAAAGCTATTATACTTATTATAGCTAAAAATTAAAAAAGCAATAATATATTTTAATAATTAAATATTAATATATAATTTATAATAAAAAATACTTTACTTTAAATTTTATAAAATAATTATAATTTATATAAAAAATTTATAATTAAATTTAAAACTAAATTAAGCTTACTTATATATTTTTAAATATAAGGTTTATATTATAATATTTAATGCTTAATTAAAAAAAAAAATATTAATAATTAAAACTATAAATATAAATAGGCTATTTAATTAGCTATTTATTATTAAATATTTATTAAATATAAATTCTTTTTATTAAAAAGATTATTAATATAAAAAATATAATCTTTAATAAATATAAATAATTTAATAAAAATTAAGAAGGATTTAAAAATAAACTTTTTACTATAAATATTAAATATTTTATAAAATAAATAAAAAGCTATATTCTTTATAAATAAAATAAAATATTAAACCTTAAAGAAAAGGATTTCTTTAAAAATAACTCCTTAAAAAATACCTTAAAAGAGAATTAATTTATAATAAATCGTAAAGAAAGTATTAATAAAAAGGTAAAGGCCTTAAAAAGAAATATAAAAAATACTTAAAAAAGGTAATTTATAGCAAATTAATAAAATAATGCTTATATAAATATAAAATTTAAATTACTTTTCATGCCTTTATAAACTCCCTTATTAATACTCTTAGCTTATATTATTTAAATAAAATTAATAAAAAAAATTCCATTTTATAATAAATTTATTATAAATATATTATAATAAATTATATTTATAATTAATATTAAAACTACCTTAATAACAATATTTAATAAAAAGATATTAAATAAGGCATAAATTAAAAAATATTTATATTAAAAGGTAAAATTATAAAGAAATAACCTTTTAAAATTATTATAATAATATAAAAATTTTAAAAACTATCTTTTTAAATATTTATTTAAATAAGTAAAAATTAATTACTTATAAAGTTATAAAGAAATAAAATTATAAATTAAAATTAAGAAAAAAAACCCTTAAGTAATTAAAAAATAAATCCTTAATTATATATAAGTTTATATTTATAAGTTTAATAAATATAAATAATTTAAGAAGTATAAAGCTTAATTAATTATTTAAGGAAATTAATAAGTAAAAGGATAAATATAAAATATTTATATAGCTACTTTAATAAAATAGTTTTTTTATATACTTATAATAATTATAATAAAGTTTAAATTAAAGCTTATATAATATAATATTATAAATACCTTTATATATGCTTTTATTAATTAAAATATATTTATATAAATACCGTATAAATATTAATAAAAAAGAATTATTTTATTACTAAATAAAGCGCTTTATAGCCTTTAAATCTTATTATTATTATAATAAAAAAAATTTATAAAGATATTAGCTTAGTATAAATATAGCTAAGTGCTATATAAGCTATATTATTATATTAAAAACGGTATTTTAATTTTCTTTTATATAAATAATATTATTATTATGTATTAAAAAAATCGTTAAAATTAAATAAATAAGCTAGCAAAGTAATTTTAAAAAAAATATAAGATTATTAAAGGATATTTAATTTAATAATTCCTTAAAATAAAAATTATTTAAAATTATATAAATTAATAAATTTAGCTAGCTTAAATTATATATATTAAGAAAATTATTAAATTAGCTAATAAAATAAATATTTCCTATAAGGTTTTTATAACTTTTAAAAAGTTATTATTATATATTATTATTGCTATAAAAGTTAAAGTTTATTTTTATTAAAAGAAAATTAAGTTATTTTTATTTACTATAATTTTTATATAATTAAATATTACCTTTGCTATATTATAACTTGCTTAATTCTTAATTAATTTAAGTTAAAAACATTATAATATAGCTAATAAAGTGCTATTATATTTTCTTTATATTAAGCATTTTGCCTTAAGCTTTTAAAATTTAACGGAATTTATAATTATTAATAATGTATTTTTCGCTAATAACTTTTTAAATTAAAAGAGCTTATAAGTATTTGCTATAAAGTTATTTAATAAACTTATTAAATAAAAAGTAAATAAGTAAAATATAATTATAACTTTTATTATAAAAGCAAAGCTATTAGCTTTAGCTTAAGCCATAAAAGAAATACTCTTTATAAGCCAACTTTTTATTAAGTTATTTATAAAATTAAATAATAAAACTATTAAAATTAAGTATAATAATATTTAAATAATTAACTTAATAATCTTTAAAATCGCTATACTTAAGATTAAGTTACAATATATGGATATTTATAATTATTAGCTAAAATAAAAGGTTTAAGATAGTAAAATCATAATAAAATATATATTATTAACATAAATAATAGTAAATAAATTAATAAAAGTATTGTTTATTAAAAAATAAAACGGGTTTTTGCATTAGCTTAAATTAAAAAGCATTAAAAATAGCTTATATAAGGGAACTTTAATGAAAAATATAATAATTTAATAGTAGCTAGTAATAGAAAATAAGTAAGGGTTTAGCCTTTTAATTCTTATTAATTTAAGGGGGTATGTTAAATCCAATTAACGGTAAATATATCGTAGTTAAACGATCCTATAATGAATTTACTGTAAATTTACTAAGGAACGGTAATTTACTAATAATTTATTATAAATTCACGGTAAATGCCTAAGGCATTAAGATTTATGGATAAAAACTAGCCCTTATTATTCATTAGCTTAAAAACAGAAAAAAATAATTAAGCAATCATTACGTTAATTATTAGAATTAATTACATTTATAAGGATTCCACTATAAGATATGTGTAGAATTTAACAAAAGCCCATAAACTCCGTGGACTTACCGGGCTCTACTGCGCTAGTCGGCCCGTCCTCCAATATAATCAGCTCCTGCGTCGTTTCCATCTTTAACAGTTATAGGTAGATGGGTTTGCATACACCTTTAGTACGGAAAATGGCGGCGCTATAGTGAAAATTGGTTGTCTTGTGCAGGCCTTGGGCGGGATGAAAAGCTCGGGGAGCTGAAAGTGCGACTGGGAGGGAGCACCCACGATGGTGGCCCATGCTCCCGGGAACTTCTCTCCGAGGTAGGCGAAGAGTAGAGCGAGGGACCAGATGAACTACATTGGGGACCGGAAGCTGGTGCTAGCTACCTTATTTATCCTATAGTGGGTGGATAAAAGTTCCGCTACTTATTAAAACCTTATATAAAATAGCAGGTTTTAAACTATTATAACTTTATTAACGCTTATTAAATTAATTTTATCTTAAAATTTATATTTAATATATAAAAAGAAAAATAATATATATTATTATAACTTTATTATATATTTTATTTAATAAAACGTTTTAAAATATTATTTTCAAAAATAATTAATTTATTAATATAAATAAAAATAAGCATTATAATTATAATAATAATTAATAAATAACTTTTATTAAATTTATTTTATATTTTTATTTTAATAAATTAATATATTTTATTAAAGTTTAATTATTATATTATATTAAAAGTAATAAAATTTAATTAAATTTAAAATATAAGGTATTTATAAAGTTAATTTATTTCTTTAGCTTAAAAATATTTTTTAATAAAAAATCTTTAAGCTAAATAAATACGTTTATAATTTATTTCTTATTTTAATAAATTAATACTATAATATTTAAAGAATTAAACTTTTTAAAATATATTAAAGGATTAAACCTTAAGCTTTTAAAAATAATTATAATTTAAGATAATAAAACCTTTAATTATTAAATTTTAATATAATATATATATATATATTATATAATGCTATTTTCATTATAAATAATAAACTTTTATAAAATTAAATATAATTAATTAAAAGTAAGGTAAGTTAATAAATTTGCGTGCTTAATAGAAGGTGTGGCGGAACTTTTGTCGACCGACTGTAGCGAAGCATGCAAGGTTCGAGCGCAGTTTTGGGGGTCCGAGACATGCTGGTTTGGCATGTATGGGTTAAGCTGGCTATGCTGATCCAGCTAAAGGAGCGCAAGTTTGAGAGATCAGTTAAGGGTTAGCGTAGGGGTATTGCATTTCAACGGACCATCAACATTATCTCTCTCTGCCTTCCCGTTATTTAAAGCCACAAATTGTTAAATGAGTTTCGTCTTTATTTGTGTTGTGTAAATCTTTGCCTATCTGTGACTGCCTGAAAAAAGCACCTGTTTTTATGGTGAGCCTCTTGATAGCCGCTGAAAGAGGATAGCGCTAACTTAGTTGGTGTCCTTGGGTGTGGTATGCCTACCAGGGGGAGGGGGGGTTTCCGTCAACATGGCACCATTATGTTAATGGAATAGCGATATAATAGTAACATGCAATTAAGGTTCTGATATGCTTTTTTTATATATACATTGCATTATTTACACGTTATAAATATGTAGTTATTCCTAACATGCTATGATATAATGTTAACCCTTGATATAAGGGTAAAAAAAAACCCTTTTTTTTCCTTATCCCTAACCCAATTACTTATTTAATTTTTACTAACTTAACTATTTATTATGGAAGTATTTATGAAATTATGGAAATATTTAAAAATAGAAATAAATTTGGAGTTAATAGGATTTAAACTAAAGCTTTTAATATAGAAATATAATAATATTAGCTAATATATAATTAACGTTAATATTGAATTAATATTAATATGATTTAAAGCCTTGATATAATTTACTTTTGATAGTATTTTAATAGCCATTTACTAGCATTTTGCTGAAATTACATAATTTCGATTAAATGTTAAAACATGATTGCATTGCATGACCCATACAAAGACCCCCCCTCCCCCTGCTAGGTGGTTCTTTTCATCCATCACCTGATCCCAATTGTCTCTTACACCCTCTACGGTCCATTCTCCCTGGGATGAACCTTGGAATCCATGCGAGTTTGCAACGAAGATCCGAGTGACGACTCTGCCCTGAGCTCCAAAGACCTCTCCGCTAACATTGGAGTCCTTATGGGCGAGCCATACAACGGTAGGTGCCGGCTCGGAGGCGGGTAAGTTGGCTTCCATGAATGCTTGGGTTCCTTTGTCAGAGGTGCTTTTCTGGACTGCGTCCGTGAAGCCCGTTGTAGCTACCGTATTGACCAGGATATTGTGTGCTGCTCCCTCCAGCGCAAGCGATTTAGCCATTCCGATGAGGGCCATCTTGACCGCGCCATAGGTCGTAACGTCCCCGGCCCGGATCTGCCGCACCCCCCGATTTGCCGCGCATTTCCCACACAAACACTCACTTTCTAACCCACGCTCATAAATCCAAATTAATATTTATAAATATTTTTATATAAAATACTACGTATAATTAATTCAGCATTTATTATATATAAAATAAATAATAAAGTTAAGTTATTAAAAATATTAAGAAATAATAAAAAGTTTTATATTAATATTAATATAATTTAACTTTTCTTTTTAATTATATTATTTATATAATTAATACTTTATTAAATATATTAATATTTTACTATAATTTATATAATAATAATATTTTAATATTATAAATTATTTTAAAAATAAATATTGTTTTTTATTATTTTAATATTAAAAATGCCCTTATATTATTATAAAATAAAGTAAAAAACTTTAAATATATTTAATTATTCTTTATAATTAAATTAAGCTTTTATTATAAAGGTTAAGTTATTAATTATTAATAATATTTTATATTTATTTAATTAACTTTAAACTTTTATTATATAAGTTAATTAATTAAATTAAATAAAAAGTTTTATTATTTTCTTTTTATAATATTATTATAATATAATTAAGCTAAGCTTAATATATTATTATTTAAAAGAATTTTTAAATATAAAAAAAAATTTAAAAAGCTTTTTAATTAATCTTTAAATATTTTTATAAAATTAATATAAAATAAAAGTTAATTATAAAAAGTTTTTAATTAATTAAATATATAAAAGAATTAAACTTTTTTAATATTAATTATTTTTTTATTTATTATAAACTTAATTTTTATTTTTATTAATTAAATTATTAAGTATTCTTTTTAAGTTTTATTATATTAAATTTTATATAATTATATTATAAATTTATAATATAAAATAACTTTAAATATATATTATAAGTTAATTTTAAGTTATTTATTATAAAGTATTTAAATAAAGTTTATATTTAAAATATAAAAAAAAACTTTTTTTTATTTATATTTATATTAAAGTTTATTTTTATAATATTAAAGCTAATTAATTAATTATAATAAATATAACTTAAATTATAATAAAATAAAATTAATATAAAAATTATTTAAATATATATAATATTATTAAAATATAAAATTAAAATTTTAAAAGCCTTTTAATTAATAAAATTTATATATAATAAAAAAAGACTTTATATAAAGATTAATAAAATATAATTATAATTATTAAAATATATTTTAAAGTTTTAATTATATTTATATTAATATTATTTTTTAATTAAGTTTTATATATTTACTTTATTTTATAAAAATAAATTAATAATATAATAAAATAATATAATAAAAGTTTTATATTATAAATAATAAATTTAAACTTATAATACTTTAATAATTTTTATAAATACTTTATAAATATATAAATAAATATAATTTAATATTTATTTTACTTTATATTTTTTTATATAATAAATATATATTATTATATATTAAATAATAATAATTTAAAAATTATAATTTAAATTTATTTTTAAAGCTTTAAGTTTTATTTATAAAAGTTATTTATTATTAAAAATTAATTTTATTTATAAATTATATTAAGTTTTAATAATAATATAAATATATATTATAATTAAATTATTAATATTTATATATTAAATATAAGCATAAATAAAAAAGAATTATTATATTTTTATATAAAATAAAAATAAAAAAAAATAATATTAAAAAAAGTTAAAATAATAAATTAATTTTATTTAAGTTTTAAATTAATATTATTTAATTTAATTTAATTATTTATAAAAATAAGCTAAGTATTTATAAAGTTTTATTTTATAATATATAATTAACTTTATTATTAAATTAATATTATAAATTTTTAATAATTAAATATATTAAAAGCATATATTATTATTATAATTTAAGCTTTAATTTTATTAAAATAAATTTTAATATAAATATAAATAAAAAATAAATCTTTTTTTTTATATTTTAAATATAAACTTTATTTAAATACTTTATAATAAATAATTTAAAATTAATTTATAATATATATTTAAAGTTTTATTATCTTATAAACTTATAATATAATTATATAAAATTTAATATAATAAAACTTAAAAAAAAAACTTTATTAAATTTCTTTTTATTTTAAAAAATTTTAATTTTAAAAATAATTAATAATTTAATTAATAAAAATAAAAGTTAAATTAATAATAATTAAAAAAGTAATTAATATTAAAAAAGTTTAATTTATTTATTTATTTAATTAATTAAAAACTTTTTATAATTAATTTTTATTTTATATTAATTTTATAAAAATATTTAAAGAATAATTAAAAAGCTTTTTAAAAAAATTTACTTTATATTTTAAAATTCTTTTAAATATATATTAAGCTTAGCTTAATTATATTATAATAATATTATAAAATGAAAATAATAAATTTTTTTTTATTTAATTTAATTAATTAATTTATATAATAAAAAATTTAAAGTTAATAAATAAATATAAAATATTATTAATAATTAATAGCTTAATTATAAAAAATAATTAAATATATTTAAGGCTTTTTACTTTATATTATAATAATATAAAAATATTTTTAATATTATAATAATAAAAATAATATTTAATCTTAAAATAATAAAATAATAAATATTAATATTATAATAACCTTAATAAATAAAGTTAAATATTTTATATATAATTAATTTAATTATTATAAATATAATTATTTTAATTATTATAAAAAAATAAAGATATAGCTTTTATTAATTAAGGTTAATAAAGAAAAAAAGTTTATTTAAAAAAGTATAAAATCTTTTTATAAAATAAGGTTTAAAATATTATTAACTTAATATTAATTTAAGCTTTAAATATGTTAATTATATATTAATTAATTTAATATTATAAAATATTTAAAATTTAAGAATTTTTTATTAATAAAGTAAATTATTTATAATTAAGCATTAATTAATTATAAATTATATAATAAATTTATAATCTTAAAGTTTTAAGTAAAAAAGTTTATATAAAAAGCTTAAATTAAAGACTTATAAGAATATTATAAATTTAATTATTAACTTATATTTAAATAATTATTTTTTATTAGCTTATTTTAATTAATATATTAAATTATAAGGGTTAAAAATATATTAATTATAAAAAATAAGTTAAGCTTTTAATATATTTAAAAAGCATTAAAATATAATTAAATAATTAAATAAAGAATAATATTTAATTTATAATTAAATTATAATATTCTTTATTTTTTATTATATAGTTATTTTTTAAAGCTTATTATAAAAACTTAAAGAAAATAAAAATATTATAATTTAAGCTTTGTTTATTATAATTAATTAATAAGTTTTAACTTTATAAGAATAGGCTTTAATATAAATATAAATAAGGAGTAAACTTCTTTCTTTATACTTTAAATATAAACCTTATTTAAGCACCTTATGGTAAATAACCTAAGGCTAGTTTATAACATACTTATTATTTAATAATGTTTCTTTATATTTTATTAATATATTAACGGAATACTTCTTTTTAATTAAAGTACTATTTATTTTTACTTTATATTATAATTAAAGGGCATTTTAATCTTTTTAATTAATTTTTAAAACTTTATTATACCTTAAAATTTAAGTTTAAAGTTATAGCTTATTATAATATATTTAATTATAAATAGTTTTCTTTTTAGCTATTTAAGAAATACAATATAATATACTTAACGCTTAAGTATTTAATTTAATACAGTGTGGTTATTGGCCCTGGCGGGAGTTAAACCCGCGCCTTTTGCATTGCTATAAATGGGCGGCCCAGCGCTTAACGCCACGGGACCACTCCTCTTTAAATAGCATTAGCAAGCCATATTGTTTATGTAGGTATGTCGCCCCAGCCGCCAATCCTCCATGTTATTGCCATTTGAGCGCTTGAGCGTCTTAGAGAGTGTAATATAGTGAGACTTGGATCCTCACGGGAATCCGGCTGGATAGCCGGGATTTTGTGTACCTTGCTGCTTACGTGCAATGTTGCTAGCTACGCCTCGGTATGGTGACTGTCTCATGGATATTCTCATCGCCATGCGATCCGTACCGTTTGTCGTGTGACTCTTCATTGGCCACAAATGTCTCAATTAGCCTGAAAGCTCACCTGCATCCTCATCAAGGCTTGGTGGGCGATCGTATTCATGAACACGAGCTGTAGGAAGCACACTAGTGCTCACTGCTGACATAGCACTCGTGTCCTCGTATTAGGTGACGATTGAACAGCCACTTGGTTAGCTCGACTTGTTTGCGATTCAAGGAGGTAGATGCTGGGATATAAGAGGCGGGATGGTCTATTTCTTTCCTCAGACTGAGACCGCATATCCTCATAAGTTTATCTTGACTTCTTTAGACCATAGCTATCAATTGCCCACCAAAGCGAATAATACGTCAATATGCGTGTGACTTCCGTCCTTACCGGCCTCCTAGCCAGCGCCTCGGCCGCCTCCATTCCCCGCCAAGCGCAGCCCTCGGCGTGGAGCATCACCAACTTCTTCGCATCCGGCGCCCCCCACAGCATCACCACCACATACAGGTTCGACATCACCGACGGCAGCACCTCCGCCTACTGTGTGGCTCTAGTCTCGACCACGCCTGACATCGGCTACGCCCCTCTCGGGGAATGCGACAATCCGACGTATTCGTTCTCCTTCGGCCTGGGCCCCTACAACGAGACGGAGCCCGGGTATAACCTGCAGATCTGGCAGGCGGACCCCCAAGACGCTTCTTGCGGAGCGGAGGGGACGCGGTGTGTGTACACGGGGATCAAGTTCTTTCCGGCAAGCGACGTGGAGACGGTTGTTGACCCGAATAACCCGAATGGCAACTATGATCGGTTGAATACGGCGCCGGACTTCACAATTGAGCGTACTGGGGTGCACATTTAAAGCTCTGTTGTACCGGTAAATGGGACCACTGTGTTGGTATGAGGAAGTGATAGCATTAGGTAGTCATCCTTTAGAAAACGTACCGTGTGAAGTTGACTCTTATCACCGGTTGCGTTGCAACAGCCACCATGTTTATAGTGTGCCCTGCCTTGTGCGTGGAGACATTCAGGTATTAAAATCAAGGTTCTTAGGTAGAATGCATCGGCAGTTGCATTATTTACACGCTAATGCGGGGTACTGCGCCCTACGACCTACATAACATAACCAATTGGTAATTAGACCGAGACGTATGCGACTAAAAGATCCCACTTGGAACGGAGAACCTCTCCCCTTCCTTTACCTATGGCCCCTTGCTTAAACTAACCAGCATCTAATATTCCAACGAAAATCTGTCAGGCACAACTTGAATGTACGACCCAGTTCTCGATCCCCAAACAATTAAGACGCCGACCCTGGAGATAGCATATTACGAACATGGCCCGCCCACCGGCTGGCCCGTAGTCCTCTTTCATGGCTTCCCCTACTCACCCCACGCATTCGATGAAGTAGTACCACGGCTCACAGCCCAAGGCGCCCGGGTGATCGTGCCCTACCTACGTGGCTTCGGCCCGACCATCTTTCGCTCGCCACACACAATGCGCACAGGCCAACAAGCAGCGCTGAGCTCCGACGTCATAGAGCTGCTCGACGCCCTAGGTATTGAGAAGGCCATCCTCGCCGGCTTCGACTGGGGCGGCGTCGCCTCGTGTGTTCCCGCGGCATTGTGGCCCGATCGTGTCGCGGGCCTAGTTAGCTATGCCGGCTACGACATCATTGACGTGGCGGCACAGCGTACGTCCCTCGAGGCTGTTGCGTGGTACCAGCATCTTTTCCAGGGCGGGCGTGGGCGTGCGTGCCTCCGGGAGCGCAGGGGGGAGTTAGCCCAGCTTTTGTGGAGTCAGTGGTCGCCCGCTTGGGACGAGGCAGCAAGAGACACGGCTTTCCAGAAGGCGGCGCCGGTGTTTGCAAATGCTGATTTTGTTGACGTTGTTATTCAGACTTACCGGTTGGTACTAGGGAATGAGAATGGTGATCCGGTTCATCTGAATTTGGAGGCGCAGCTGGCTCGGAGGCCTAAGATTCGGGTACCTACTATGACGCTGGATGGCACCAAGGATCCGTTGAAACCTGGCGGCACGGAGTCACATGCTGAGATGTCTGAGGGGAGACACGAACGACGGGAGACGGATGTTGGTCATGCGTTTCCACTCGAGGCGCCAGTCATGTTTTCTGATGCAGTTCTAAAGGTGAAGGAATGGACTGGTTGGTAATTTGGAAGAATGATGGTTGGAGAACCAAGTAGGCGACAGCGTGAGTAGACGAAGACACGGTAAAGGTTAATAAATCTCAGAATGCCCCCCAAGGCCGATAAGCAAACGGCTACCCACCTACTCGCTGTCCTGCCTATCAACGACTGCCATTTAGCCGAAGCAAAAAGACCGGCACTAATTGAAGGTGTGATGTACACCCGAAGTTTGATGCAGGCGGTTGTTTCTTGACGTTCCCTACTTGAGTCCCGTTCAACAGACGCCTGGCACAGCTCGCTGGGACTTTGATCGGAAGATTTATGCAATTTTCCAGAGTACATGCTTCTACCTCCATAGCCCTGTGCCAGTATGCTGGCATTGATATGGATTTGCAGAGATTCGCTCTCGACGAGCAGAACCCATGGACGTGCCCGGAGACAGAATGGAGGCCCACGGAATGGGGACCCAGAGCCTTGGGAAAGAATCAATTCGCATTAATTAATGGTCAAAAGTGGAGAATAAGAAAACTAAAGGAGGAGTTCAATGTGGTAGCAAGTTGGGGCATCCGAAAGATGTTGTATAAAAAATGGCCCGTCAGTCCCAGATCGGCAAGGCAGGCGTCTACTGTTGCACGCACATCCCTAACCCTGGTTTGCAACTACTTTCTAGAATGCTTAAATAGCTAAATTTCTTTTATTTCCTTCTTTTAAATTATTTTTAGCAAATAAATGCTTTTATAATTATGCTTTTAAATCCTTATAATATTTATAGCTTTTTATAATTATAAGCTTAATTTATATAAAATAATCTTTTCTTTTTATAAATTATAAATAAGTTATATAAAGTATATTTTAATTATATTTATTTTATATTATTTATTTCCTTTTATTTTTAAATATATATTTATATAATAAATATAAATACTTTTTTAAACTTAATTAATTAAATAATTTATTTAAATATTTATTTCTTTTTTATTTAATTTATTATATTATAATTTTATTATTAAATTAAAAAGTATTAAAAATTTATAAATTTAAATATATAAAATGCAGCCCTTATTAAGTAATTAAATATAATTTTAAAATTAAATTTTTAATTTATATAATAAAAAAAAAGAAATATTTAAAAAGCTTTATATAATAAATATTAAAAGCATTTAAATAATAATAAGCTTTTAAAAAATAAAAGGGTATTTACTTTATTTTTTTTCTTATTCTTTAATAAATTAAAAAAAAAGATATAATTAATATCTTTAATAATAAGTTATTTTAGCTTTTAATAAGGTAATTAAATTTAATAAAAAATAAAAAATTTAAGAATAAATATAAAATACTTTTTTATTTAATAAATAGTTTAAAATATAAAAAATAACTTTATATTTTTTAAATTAAATATAATAAATACTTTTTAAACTTAATATTATTAATATTTAAAAAAAATAAAAAACTTAAATATTAAATTATAATAATAATATTAAAATTTTATAAATTTATATTTATAAGCTTATATTTATAAGTTATTTAAAATTAAGGAGTTTATTAATTTATATAACGTTTTATAAGTAATTATAATATATATTATCTTTAATTAAATAATTTTTAAATATTAAAGACTTATTAAATAAAATATATTAAGAAATTTAATTTATTTCTTAAAACCCTTATTTAAAGAATTAATAATATTTTTATATTATAATAAGCTTATATTAAGATTTAAGAATATTATAATATTTATTATATTAAAATTAAAAGTATTTTTTAAAATAAAAAGTAATTAATTAAGAACGTAATAAACAAATAAAAATATATTATCTTAATTATATTAATAAATAAAAATATATAAGTACCTTTATTAAATAATTAATTAATAAAAGGAATATATTTAACCTTTTGCTAATTATTATTATTTTTATTTTATGCTTTTAAGAAAATAAATCTTAAAGCTAAAAATATATTTAAAGAAACTTAATTATAAGAAAATTATTATAAAAACTTAATTTAAGAGCTTATTTAAAAAAACCTTTTATTTAAAGATTAAATATAAAGCTTATTAAAAATATTAAAAACCCTCTTAAGCATATTTTTAAAAGCTATTAAGGAATAAAATTTTAATTTCTTTTTTTTATATAAAGCAAATTTATATATTTTTAAACTTTTAATTTTAAAAAATTAATTAATTAATAATACCTTTATTATATTTTTATAAACTCTTTATTAATTTATTATAATTATTAATTATAATTAAATCCTTAAAAATATATATAACTTTAAATTCTTTATTATATTTTTTATCTTTAAATATAATTTTAAATAATTATAATATTATTTATTTTATTAATTATTTAATTTTAAATATTTTTTAAAAAGCTATTAAGTTAAATATTATTAAAGTAAAAACCTTATTCTTAATATAATATTTTAAAAATATATTATATAAAATAAATAAAAAATAATTAAAGATTTAATTTTAAGAAATATAATAATTATAAATAAATTTTATATTAATATAATATTAAAAGCACTCTTATAAAAATTAAGCATTTAATATTATAAAATTAATTTATTATTATATTTTAAATTATTTAAATAAAGCATTATTTTCTTTAAACTTATTTAATAATATAATTTAATATTTCTTAAATATATATTATTATAATTTCCTTATTTTTACCTTTTATTATAAATATTTATAAGTATTATAAATATATATAAGCTTATAATTTTTTATTAAACTTAATAAAATCTTTTAAGCCCTTTTAAAATATATATAAAAATTAAAAAGATTTAATAAACTTTTAATATTTTTAATTTAAAAATAAGGATTAATACTTTTAAATTATTAATTTAATATATTTAAGGCATAAAAATTAAGAAAATTAAATAAATTAATTATAAGAATTGCTTTAAAACCTTTGCTAAAAAAGCATTTTAATATAAGTTATTAAAAACCAAAAGCTTAAAACCCTTTTTTAAATCTTATAAAATTTCTTTTATTATTTATAAGCCTTAAATAAATTAAATTATAAGCTTATAATAATAAATAAATTCTTAAAATTTATTTATATCTTTCCTTATATATTAAAAGCTTAAAAATAAATATTTAATATTTTTTATATTTATAAAAGCTAAATAAAATAATAATATAATTTAAATATTTATAAAATTAAATAAGATATTAAGGCTATAATAATTAACTAATTTATAAATATTAAATATATTAAATAAATAAAATAAAAAGATATTAATTTAAAACTTACTTTTCTTTAAATCTTAAAAGCAAATAATATTATAAAAAGAGCTAATAAAATAATAATTAAATATGCTTTAATTATATTATTAAGAATTAATTTACCTTTTAATCTTTAATTAAAAGTAATATAAGTTATAATTTAATTATATAATATTTTCCTTATTTTAAGAAAAAAAAGCATGCTTTAAATACTTTTTTATATATATAGTTTTTTTATTATTTTTAATAATTTAAATTAATTTAAATTTATTATTTTATAACTTATTTATTACCTTATTAAGATAATATTTATATTTATAAATATAAAAGATATATATTTAAAAAGATATATATAAATAATATAAAAGAATGCCTTATAAAGAAGGAATTAAAGGCTTATATTAAATATTTAATTAATTATATAATATTTAATATTTTTTAAATTTATATTTCTTTACTTAAGTAATCTTTATAAAAAATATATAACTTAATAAAAATATATTTTATAAATTAATAATAAATAAAATATAAAATAACCTTTTAATATTTAAAGTAAAATTATTAAATATTAAGATTATTAATATTAAAGAAATTTAAAATTATATTTATATTAAATTTTTAATACTTTATATAAGAAATTAATTTAATTAATTTAAATAATAAATTTAATATTTATTTTATATTAAGAAAAAATAAAATTAATACTTTTAATTAAAACTTAAGGGTAAAGATTTTTAAATTTAAAAAATAAAGTTTATTATACATTACTTTCTTAAAAAGCTTAAAAAATTAAAAATAAGGATTTTTAACCCTTAAGAAAATCTTAAATATATTAAAATAAGGTTTTTATAAAAGAAATATACTTTTATTAATAAAAAAAGGGCTAATAAATTGAAAATTCTCTTTTAAAATTAAATATATTTAAAGCTATAAGAAATTAAAAATTCTTTTAATTAATAAAATAAAAAAAATATAAAAATAAATTTAAAGGTTTAAATTTATAAGAAGATTATTTTAAATATATAATTAAGTTAAATAGTTTAAAAAATTCTTTAATTAAATATTATATTTATAAATATAATTATATTTTACTTTAATATAACTTTTTAAAGTAACTTTATAATTAGTTTTTTATTTAATTAACTTAAAAAAAAATATATTTAAAAACTTATATTTTTTAATTTTAATTAATATAATAATAATTATTATTTAAGCTTTTAAAATTAAATTTAAGCTTTATTTAATATAATAATATTATAATAATTTCCCTTTAAAATTAATTATATAAAAAAAGGATTAAAAAAGCTTTTTTTAAAATAAATAACTTAAGATAATATATTAAGAAAGGCAAAGCATTATTAAGCTTAATATTTAAAAGATTATTAAATATTAAAAAGTAAAATTAATATTATTACCCTTAAAATAAATATATAAATATAAGCTTAATAAAAATAAAATAATTAAATCGTTTAAGGTATAAATTTATATTTAATGAGATTTATAACCTTATTTTATTATAAAAAGCATATATATTATAACTTTAATTATAAAATTATTTTATATAATAATAATAATTATTATATATTTTAATTTAATAATTTAATAATTTAATATTATAATTATATTTTTAAATATTAATTAAAAAGGGTTAAATTTAATTTATTATAAATTACTTAATTAATTTAAAAAGTTAAGGAAATATAAAATGCTTTTAAAGGTATTTTATAAATTTAAAAATTCTTTATTTTTTTAATATAAAGATTTTAATTATATATTATAAAATTTAAGGTTAAAGCCTTTATTAAAAAAAGTTATGCTTTTTTATTAATATAGCTTATAAAATAATATTTTAATTATATATTTAAAAGATAAAAATAATATTTTTATAAAAATTAAAAATAAGATTTAATTTATATATAAAATAAATAATTAAGGAAAAGCTTAATAATTCTTAAGTATATAAATTTTTAAAGATTAAGAAAAGTATATTATAATACTTTTTTATAACTTATATATTAAGAAAATAATAAATAAATATAATTTATTAAAAAGTAAAAGCTTTTTATTATTTACTTTAATATTTAAAAAAAAGCTTAAGCTTTTTTTTTAAATAAGCTTTAAAATAAGAAATTTAAAAGTTTTAAGAAAAAGTAAATTTTATTCTTTATATAATAATTATAATATACTTAAATATAGCATTTTTATACTTTATATTCTTTATAAACTTAAGTTTAAGTTATCTTAAGGTAATAAATTATATAATTTAATATTTATATATTATTTAATTTCTTAAATTATAATATAAAGGGAATTAATAAACTTAAGCATTTTTAATAACTAAAAATATTTTATTTATTAATAATAAAAAGAATTAAAGATCTTTTTAAAAGTATATAATAATTCTTTTTAAAGGCTTTATATATTAAAAAGTAAATAAATAAGTAATTATTTTTATTTTAATTATTAAAGTTAAATTATTAACTTTAAAGCTTATAATTAAAAAAATAATAGTTTTAAAATATTTATTTAAAAATATAATTTTAAATTTAAATAAGCCTTAAATTATTTATTATAATAATTAAATAACTATATATTTAATTATTAATAAGTAAAAATAATTAAAAATAAAGCTTAAATATATAAATATTTAATAAATATAATTAAAATAGAAATTTAAAAAAAATACCTTTAATATTATATATATAAAAATTAAAAAAATGCTTATAAATAAATTTATTAAAATCTTATTATATATTTAATTTAAATATTTTAAAGCATTTTTAAATCTTTAAGATATAAAGAAATTAATAAAAGAAAATTAATTTATTTATTAATTATTTTTATTATTAAGCTTTTATTAAAAATCTTAAAAATTATATTTTTTAAAAATTATAATATAATTCTTATATAAAAATTATTTTATAATTAAAAACTACTTTTTAATTTTTATAATAATATATTAATTAATTTAAAACTTTCTCTTAATTATTATAATAATTTTCTTAACTTTTTTAAAAAATTCTTTTAATTTTTAATTAAATTCTTAATTATAATTTTAAATTAAGATTTAATAATATTTATTTTTTAAAGTTATTTTTAAAATTAAAAAACTTAATTTTAATAATAATATAATTTTAATATTTTTATATAATCTTTAACTTATTAATAATTTAATTTTAAAGCTTTTAAGTTTTTATATTAACCTTATTATATTACTTTAAAGTAATTATAATTTAAATTTTAAGGTACTTTATCATATTTCTTTATTTATTCTTTATAGCCTTTAAAAGCTATTATTATAAGGTAATGATTTTTTAAATATTAAAAGAAATTAAAAAAATATAATTAAAATAAATATAATTAAGCTTTTTATATTTATATATATTTAAAGCCATTTTTAAGTATATTAAATTTCTTAAATATTAAGAAATTATGAAATTAAGCATAATAAAGATAAAATATAAATAATAAAAGATAAATTAAAAGCAACTTATAAGAATTACCTTAAATATAATAATAATAATAATTATCTTTATTATTATAATTTATATAAAGATTATTATTATAATTATATATAAGGCTTTTAATATAAGAAAGATAAGGGATATAATGCTTATTAATTTTCTTAAGCTTTTTTATATCCTTTTTTTATACTTTATTTTAATTTTTTTTTAAAAAATTTATTTTATTTTAAGCTTTAAGTTATTTATATATATTTAAAGGTTTTTTAAAGCTATATTAAAAATTAATATATATTTTAAAATTACTTTTTAAATTAATTAAAAATTTACTTTTAAGTATATTATTTAATAATATTTTAATAAAAATATTAAAGTTTTTATTTCTTTTATTAATAAGCTTTTTATTAATTTAGCTATATTTATATTTCTTTTTTTAAATCTTAAAGGTATAAAAAGCTAAATAACTTGTAATTAAAAAGCTTATTTATTATTGCTTTTAATTATTTTTAATATAATTAAAAAAATATTTAAAATTAATAAAAATAAGCATTTTTAAATATAAATTTAATTAAAAAACTTAAAAATAAGGCTTAATTATTAATTATAAGTTATATTATACGGCTATAAATAATTAAACTTTAAGTAATAAAATATATATATTATAAAAAAAGTTAAATAATTAATTATTTAATAAGCTATAATTAATATTTTTAAATATTAATTAATTATTTAAAAAAATAAGGTAGTTAATAAGGTAAGAATTACCTTTTAATTAAGGGGTATATTATATATATATTCTTAACCTTAATTTATAACTACTTTTTAAAATATTTAAATAGCTAAATTTCTTTTATTTCTTCCTTTTAAATTACTCTTAAGAGATAAACGCTTTTATAATTATGCTTTTAAACCCTTACGGCACTTATAGCCTTCCACATCTACAGTATGTCCAGATGAACAGAAAGACACGGGCTAACCCCTGACACCATCTGCGGCTGCCCCCCCCCCCTGAAGTGATCCTCGAACTGCCATTGCTTGTGTCTGTGTACGCCTTGATGAAACAGCCTCGAAAAGCTTGTGTTCCAAGCTGCGCATCGTTAATTCGCATGACATTGATAGACTTTGGGCTCGCGCTTGGCTCTCTGTCTCTCTCTCTCTCTCGCGTGCTCGACTCACTTGCAAACATTGTATCTAGGCGTGCCGTATTCAGAATATCATGTTTATGTGTGATGTCTGTCTCAATCCTTCGGTAGTGTAGATCTCCGAGTCCAGCTAGGTGGGTGTATTCCTCCCACGGCCGTATCTTCCACCACGCATTACTTTTGATTGAACCACTCATCCGAAGCTCAAAGTGAAGTAGCATTCATCAGCCGTGCAACTAACCCATCGACCTGGTCACCGGTGATTTTGGTGGGCGATGTCTGAAACCCCTCTCCGAATGGGAAACGCTCCTGTTCAAAGATAGTCTCCATGAATACGGTGGACGTCTGCGGGTTTTGAAAATCGTTTCCAAGCGTTCCAAGGATGAAGGCAGACTCTGCAAATGAGGTCTTAACCTGGGCCGGAGTTAGGGAGAAGTTGGGGTTGGCTGCCGTCGCAGCGGCAATTCTGTCATTATGGGCTGCAGCCATGGTCTTGATATCGATCGTCGGGCCGGTGAAGTGGGCCTTGACTGTATTCCAGATTATGGGATTGAAACTGTTGGCGTTGCCAGTCACCTCGTCGGCGCGGGACAGGCTGCCGTCGTGCTCGATTACGTTGTGTGCCTTCATGTCTTCGAGGTTGACGGTGCCGGCGACACCTGTGGTCGAGATGTTGAAGGTCGGTTTCGCGAGCGAGACTGTCACAGCCTCATCGATGTTGAGAGCCTGGGTAAAGGCGAAGTTGAGTTGGTCCTGACTGATGTTCCTGCCATCGCGGGGTAGGAAACCATGGTTTGAGAGGGAGTTGAGCACTGGACAAGGCGAACGGCTGGCGTTGGCGGCGGCCGGTTGGAATGGAAAGTTGGCGTTCTGGTTCCCAATACATAAAAGAGGGGCGGCGCAGACCAGGCTGCTCACGAAGGATAGAACGAAAAGACTGGACACGTCCACCATTGTACTGCCTCAAGTGCTGCGTGCTGCTATATGGTGAGGAGAGAAATATTACAAGCAGGAAAAAGACGAAAAGAGGTGAGAATATCACACGGAGGAAAGGACAAAAACAGAGCGTGACGGTTAGGCCTAAGTACTCCTTTAACCGAGCAGGAATTATATCGAGGAGATGTAAGCTGACGTGAGAGTCGCAAGACTGCAAGGGGCCTTCTATTCCCAGACAAGTCTGTGCGATGTTACATTTTAGACTGCTAGTTTGCCTTTCCCCCTTTTCAACACAAATCAAGTTCTCTATGTCAGCAGTGGTATCGATCCGCTGGCATTTGCAGTAAATGGGTGCACAAGAGTAGATATTAGCTTCATTATGGCGTCCAGATGCCTTGGGGACAGAGAGTGTATTTCACATGCTTAATATTCATCGATTTCGATGTACTTGCCAAGTGTTTTGGGGGAAAGCTTGAGGTAGGGTGTGCATAGCATGACATGTGAAGGAGGGTGTACAAGTTTCCACCATGGCGGTTTCTCAAACACATGCAGTTTTATAACATCCAGCCATGGAGATCTATAGCGGCTAATTAGACGAACGAGCACCGTATCTCGTTTTCTACTGGCAGACTCTGTACGAGGTTAACTCTCAGACCTTTTGGGAGAACCAGGCCGGAAATGACAATAGCCGAGCAACAGCAGCTCGTGTCTCAAATTTGAGTCTTGTTCTGCACATGAATAAGACGTATTCCGATTGCTCACACTACCCAGCGTGGCTCATCACCGTGGATTAGCCTAAGCAAAGAACTTATTAATATCCCCAGAGGCCCCATACTTGACCTTTAGTAAGACGACATTGTGGGCACAGCAATGGGAAATTGCATAAAATGAAATAACCCGATTTAGCAGCCGCAAATTCGGGACCATGAGAGCCATGCCGTTATTAAAACAAATTTATAGCAATATTTATGCATATAAAAGCGAGAAGATAAAACGCAGTGCGTCCCCCGCCTACACTTATTCTAATTATTTTACCTTTTTAATGCATTGCTATGGCTAGCTGCTATAATTATTACGCCGCTAATTATAGTACTGCTTTTAATTATTTTTATTTTTATTTATATTATTTTATTTATTAATATAATTAAGCGGGGCTTTTTATATTTTTAATATAGTTTTTTAAGAAATATTTAATTATATAAAATTATATAAATTCTTAAATGTTTTCTTGTTTTTAATATTATTATTAAATTTATTTTTATATTTATTTTTATATTTATTTTTTAACTTTAAAATACATTATTTTTAAATTATTTAAAAAAGAAATTCTTATTTATTCTTTTATTACATAACGCATTATTTATATATTTAGCTTTTTTTTATAATAAATATAAATTTAAACCTTATTATAATTATTAAAACCTTTTTTAAGATTTTTTTAATTAATTAAAAGCTTTATCTTAATACTTTATTAATTAATAAATATAATAATAAGAAATTATTATTAATATTAATAAATAATAAGCCTTTAAAAATATATTAACCCTTAAAAACCTTAAATTAAAAATATTTAAGCTTTTAAATGCTTTATTATAAAGCTTTATTATAAAAGGCTAGCGAAATGAATTAATAAATAATCATTAATATAACCTTAAAAACTTATAAATAAGCTTTATATAAATAAAAATAAATTAATAATATTAATTTATTATAACTTATAAAATAAATTTATTATTATTAATAAATAAAGCATTTAATTAAAAAAGTAATAATTTTTAATTTTTTATTAAAACTATTTAATAATATATAAATATTATATTATTGTTATAACTTAAAAATAATAATTCTTTATTTAAAACCTTTAATATAAAAAGCAAACTTTTATATATTTTAAATAAAATAAAATAAAATAAGTATAATTTATTAAGCTTATAATTTATATTTAATAAAGAAAAGGCTTTTAAAAAGAATATTTATAATATTTAAACTTTTATTTATTTTTAACATAATATTTTAAAATACGCTTATAATAAAAAAGTTTTTTATATAATTTATTATAACGTAATTTATTAATAATTAAAGTTTATTAATAAATAATGTTTCTTATTATATTTATTAACTTTTCTTAACCTTAATATTTACTTAAAATAATTAATTTAATAAAAGTTAATATTAATAAATATTAATAATATTTAACTTATTATTTTTAATTAATTTATTTAATTTAAATTAATTAATAAATATATAATATAATTAAGAATTATAAAGATTTTAATAAAATAAGCTATTTATAATATTTATTATATTTTTAATTTTTATATTAACTATATATTAATTTTTATACTTTAATATTTAATATATTAAGATTTAATAATTAATAATTATAATTTTTATTTAAAGAAAATAAAATATTTTTAATTATTTATATAATTTAAAAATCTTAAGAAAGTTATATAAAACCTTTAAAAATAATTAAAATTATATAAACTTTTAATATTTTTAAAACTATATTATATTATAAAATATATTAATAATATTTTTATAAAGTTATATATATATATATATTTATATTTAATTAAATTAAAAAGTAAATATTTATTTAATATATTATTAAATAAAATACTTAAAGATTTTATTTATAATTTTTTAAAATAAAATATAATTAATATTTTTATTAATATTTTATAAATTTATAATTATTAAAAAGCTTTTTATAAAAGTTTTAAAATTATTAAAAGTTAACTTAAATTAATTTATAATGTAATAAATTATTATATAATGTAATTAATTTTTAAGTTAAGTTATTAATTTATAAAAATATAAAGAATATAAGTTTAATTCTTATTAAAACTTTAAAATTATAATTATATTTTTAAATTAATTATACCTTATATAATTTTTAAAAACGGGAGCGTTTAATAAAAAGTTAATATAATAATAAGTTAATAACTTTACTTAAGGTTATATATTTAATTCTTTTAATTATTATATTTATAAAGTATTAATTAAATAATTTATATAATTAAAAATATTTCCATAAAAATTATTTTCTTTTTTATTATAACTTAAGGTTATAAGTTTAATTTTTATAATTAATATCTTTATATTAAATAATTTATTTTTAATATAATAAAAAAGATTAAATTAAAATAATTTAATAATTAAAAATATATAATTATTATTAAATATATTAATATAAATAAGTTATAAATTTATTATATATTTATATAAAAAATATTTATTATTTTATAAATTAAATTAAATTATTAATTTTATTAAATAATTAAATTATTATATTTACTTTTAATAAATAAATAAATAATAAAATAATTATTATTAATATATTATTATAATTATTTTATTTACTTTAATTATTAAATATTATATTATATTTATTTTTAAAATATATAATATTTTTAATTAAGCTTAATTTAATTATATTATTAAGTTTAAGCTTTATTTATATAAAAATAATTTATAATAAAAATATTAAATTTATATTTAAAAAAGTTAAAGTTTTAAATATTATTAAATATTTAATAAAGTATTTAAGATTTAAGCTTTTTTAAAAATAAAAGATTTATTTATTAAAAAAGGCTTTTTATATTAATTATAATAATTATTAATTAATTAATTATTAATATTTAAATATTAATATATTTATATATTATAATAAATAAGTAAGTTTATATATTTTATAATAATTATATAATATTTATTAAAATATTAAAGGAATAAAAAACCTTAAATATAACTTAAAAATATTTATAATTAAGAAATATTAAACTTTTATTTAAAAAATAAAGAAAAGAAAAAGTAATTAATTAATTAAATAATTATATATTAATTATAATATAATTAAACTTTAATTATATTATAAAAGATTTAGCTTAATTAATATTAATTAATATAAATATATTTATTTTCTTTTAAATATAAGAGTTATTAAAAAGTTATAATTTTAATTTTTAATTATCTTTAATAAATTATAATTATTTTATTAATGATTTATAAATAAACTTTAATATTTTATTAAGTTAAGTTTTAAGTAATTATTTTAATTTTCTTAAAGGTTTTCTTTTAAATATTTCTTTTTTTTTAACTTAAACTTTTTAATCTTAATTTTATATTAATTAATTATTAAATTTAATTAAAACAATTTTATAGATTTTAAAAATGTTTATAAATATTTTAATTTCTTTAAAGGTTAATATTATCTTATTATTATTCTTTTATATTAAATAATATTTCGGAGGACCTGGATATGACTCCGACCCAGTACCAGAGCTGCATTTCAATTCTTTTCGCAGGTTATAGTGAGTGCTCTATGCCCCCTGTTAGTTGTCGACAATACTGATTCTTAGCCCTAATGCAGGTGCCCTCGAATATGATGCTGGGAAAGGTCAAGTGGCCTGGAGTCTACATATGCACTGCAATGGGCGTGTGGGGCGTAATATCGGCATCGCAGACCGTAGTTCGCGATTTTGCGGGCCTGGCCACTGCCCGATTCTTCATCGGGTTCGTGGAAGCCGTGTTCTTCCCTGGGGGTTTGTTCTACCTCTCCCTCTTCTACAACCGCAAGCAGTACGCTTTCCGCGCCGCTCTCTTCTACTCTGGTTCCCAACTAGGCAACGCCTTCGGTGGGCTTCTTGCCATCGGGAATTTGGAGCTAGATGGAAAGCACGGGCTGGAGGGATGGAGATGGGTAGGTCTTGCCACCAGTCTGCGTTCCGAGGGTCCCGAAAACTTCATGGCCGCACCAGCTAACCACCGCTGAGTCCTAGCTTTTTCTCGTCGAAGGCGTCATGACTATTGGACTGGCAATCGTGTTCGCTCTGGTTTTGCCGAATTCCCCTAGGGAGCTCAAAAGCTTGACGAAAGTTGAGAAAGCATGGGTTATTTGGAACCAGCAACAAGATCAGGGACAGAGCGACGATCGGTCTGAGATTACAGCGAAGAAAGGATTATCTCTAGCGATAAAGGATTCGAAGACATGGCTCCTCCTGACAATCCTCTATGCCATTTATACCTCCGAGCAAAAGTGGTTTCCCCGTGTATTCCGACACATTGGGCACCCTGGAATGGAGGAAGAAGTCCTTGTCCAAGTGTTTCGGAAGAGATGGCTGCTAGCGTAAGGTGTGCATCGACGGGACCCATCTAGGTGAGTCGGCTTCCCAGTTTTCATGGGAGTCTTGGATGATGCAAATGGAATAGAACTCGTGTGTTACCAGTACTATGTGTCCATACTATCTAACAAAGACATTTATAGAAGAGAATAAATAACACTCAAATGGCATCAGCAACGGTGAAAGCTTCGTGGCCCGCCCTTGACCATCCTGTTGAAGTATATAAGGCTTGATCCGCTGACGGATTAAGCGTTCGCTTTTTCCACAATTGCGGCGTCGCTTTTGTTCAACACATCCCTCAGCGCATCGCCTTCCGTCTCCTATCTAGAACATCGACAACCTCGGATTAGATCGCGTATGCGGCGTTCTAGATCTGTCATTGCTGCCCGAGAATACATGGTTGGATGCAAAGTAACCCCGCTGAGGCCGCCAGCTCAAGCAGCGTGGTCGATCCTCGGCGATTAGCCACAGTTGGACTGGGTCCAGCAGTTCTCGTCGATGAACCTTTGAGCAGATTTGTAGGCATCTTCCTTGGGGGTGCAAGTACCCTGGCGAGAGTGAAGAGAACGAGCCCCGCTGCCACTGCAGCCGGAGCCGCCCTGGGCAAATGCATTCCAAGGGGACATACCCCAGGCCCGATGGTTGGAGGGGAACCCGGCGAGGCGGGGCTCGCCGTTGGTGGGCCTCAGATTGTTATAGATGCTACCCTCGTAGTCGCTGTTGTCTTGGAGGCCAGAAGAGTCCTCGACGCCATTGGTATAATGCCTCCAACGGATGACCTGATCCCAGCTGAAGCCGCCGAGCGCCGCGTACTCTTGCTCATTCGGGTACGGGCTGAACTGACCGAGCGTGCCGGAGACCTGGATGAAGTTGGCCGCCGCCGCTATCTCATAGACGTAGCCGTTGCCGTTAAACATCTGCCTGAGGAAGTTGACAGCCGTGGTTTCACTGGCGGTGGTCGAGACATAGCCATCATTATCCCGACTTGCGCCGTTAGGGGCGCCGACCGCATGATTGTACATGCTGACGTTTGGGACAATTTGAAGAATCTGGCTAGCTCCCCTGGGAGCAAAGAGGCCAGCTGCGCGCATCTCGGTCGGAGTCCTGGTATCGGCGCGCCAAACACTGAACTGGGCATTGCAGAGAGCAGCCCACAGATTGAGAACAAGCAGAATTAAAATGTTCTCACGGCCTATCATTTTGATGATGAACCGTGCGAGCGGCAAGAAAAAGTGGTGACGAACGTGGAGGAGTGTAAGACAAGTCTTGAGAAAGCAGCCAGAGTCCAGGAGCAATGGAGTTAAGGATAATAGTTGGACTGATATAGAGGATACGTTGGTGGGAGGGTACTCTTCTTTATACTTTCCCTGGAGCTCCTGATGCTTCGTACTTCTCTCCTAACCAAATGCCATGTCTGCGATCTTAGCAGCGAGCTTCATGATGGCTGAACATTGTTGACCCGAGAGATAGCATGATGATCATGACGAATCGTCGGCACCGTAACTCAATTACGTTTCTATCTAAGCCCCTGCCCAAGTTTGGCTTACTTAAGATAAGAACACTTAAGATTAAATATTAGCTATTATTATAACCATAAGAAAGTATTTGCTAATTAAATGTTGGAAAGCTATTTATTAAAGGTTAATTATAGCTTATAAGGAAATAATATTTCTTTTTTTATTAAGTAAATAATTTTTTATAATTATAATAATACTTAACTATTAAATATAACTAAGAAAAAAGCATAAAAACAATTTAAAATAAGGTTATATTAATTTCGTAATATTGAATAATTTAAGAAAAAGATAAGTTTAAGGTAAATTATCTTTTATTATTATAATAACTTTAAAATATAAAATTAATAATTAACTTATTATAATATAAGAAAATACTTTAAATATTATCTTATTAAAGCTATATTAAAATATATTAAGATTTATATAAGTTAAATGAAAAGATATATAAGTACTTAATTATATAATTAATTAATATTATTTATTATTAAATAAAATATATAAATAAGTAATATATATTTATAATATTTATTAACTTTAATTAACCTTAATATTTATTTAATGTAAAAGTATTAATTAAATTTAACATTAATTAATATTAAGTATATTTAATTTCTTATTTTTAATTAATTATAATTTAAATAAAAGTAATTATTTTTTTAATAAGAATTATATTAATATATTAAATATTAACTCTTTATTAATTTACTTATTTAAATATTTAATATATTAAAAATTAATAATTATAATATTAAAACCTTTTAAGATAATAAAATTTATAATAAAGTTTATTTAATTATAGAAATAATAAAATAAATTAATAATATATTTATAAAGAATTATATATTAATAAATATAAATTTAAGTAAATTAAAAAATAAATTTTTATTTAATATATTATTAAATAAAATGCTTAAAAACTCCTTTTATAATTCTTTAATATAAAAAGTGTAATTAATCTTTTATATATATTATATAAAGTTAGATTTATTAATAAGCATTAAATTTAAAAATAAAGTTTAATTATTTATATAATTATTAAAAAGTTTTTAATAAAAGTTTATAAATTATTAAACTTTAATTTATATTATTTTAAAATATATTAATTAAATATTATATTATTAATAATAAGTTTTATAATTTTAATAAAATTAATTTTATAATAAATATAATAAATAAAATAAATATATTAATAATTATTATATATTTAAATAAGCATAAAGGGATTAAATTAATTTAATTTAATAATTAAAAATAAGTAATTATTATTAAATATATTAATATTAATAAATTATTAGTTTTATTATTTATAAATATTTAATATATTTATTATTTTATTAATTAAATAAATAATAAAATAAATTTAAAATAAATTTAATATTTTAATACATATATTAAGTTAATAAAAAGAATTAATTTTTAAATATTAATTATATATAATTATAAAAGCTATATATTAATTAAATTTAATTAATATTATAAAAATAATATAAATATTATTATTAATATATTATTATATTTACTTTTAATATATATATATATATAATAAAATTAACCTTTTTATTTAAGTTTTTATTAATTATATTATTAAGTTTAACTTCTTTTTTATATTTAAAGTAGCTTATAGTAAAACTTTTATAATAAAAAATATTAAGTTTATATTTAAAAAAGTTAAAATCTTTTTATAAGATTTTAATTTTATAATTTTTAAACTTAATATTTATTAATAAACTTTAATATAATTCTTTTTTATTTTTTTAAAAAAGTATAATTTTAAAAATTATTAAAAATATAATAAATTATTTATTAATTAAGTTTTATTAAAAATAAAGTCTTTATTTATTAAACAAACTTTTTTATAATAAATATAAAGTTATTAATTAATTAATAAAAAGTATATAAATAATAATATATTTATTTATTATAATAAATAAATTAATTTATAAATTTAAAAATATTAAAATAATATTTATTAAGCATTAAATAATTAAAAAATTTAATATAACTTAAAATAAATTATATTTAAAGGGTTTTAAGCTTTTATTTAAAAAGAATAAAAAGAAAAATATTTATTTAATAAAATATATAATAATATTAAGAAATTAATTAAATTAAATTAATTAAATAATTATATAATAATTATAATAAAATTAAGCTTAATATAAAAACTTATAAAAAGAATAAAAAAATATTAATTAATTAAATATTAAATATATTATAATAAATTTAACTTAATTAATATTAAAAAATATAAATATTTTTATTTTATTAATTTATAATAAATTATATTTTTAATAATATAATTTATATTAATTAATATTAAATATATATATTTTAATAAAAGTTAATTAATTATAATAAATATTATAAAACTATATTACTTATTAATATATATTATTTATTATTAAATTATATTATATAACTTAATATAATTAAAATATTAAGTTTTTAAATAAAAAAAGCTTTTTTATAATAATGTTTAATAAAATAATATTTATTAAAATTAATAAGTAATATAAGGGCTTATAAAATAAATAACTTAATAACTTTTAAAATAAAAAGTATAAAAACTTTTATTTTAATTTTATTATTAATTATACTTTTAAATATAAGAATAATAATTAAAAAATAATATATAAAGGTTATAAAAAGCATTAATTAATTATTATAAATAAATTTAATTATATAAAATATTATTATTAGTAATAATAAGTTAATAAAAAAGATAATTAAAATAAATTATAATATATTAAAATTAAATAAATATTAATATATTATATAATTAAGTATAATTAAGTATAATTGAATATAATTAAGTATAATTAAGTATAATTAAGTATAATTAAATAATTTATAACCTTAAAAAATATAAAAAAATAATAAGTTAATATTATTAAGGGTAACTTAATATTACTTTATATTAACTTAATGGTAAGGCGTTAATTATATATTAATGGCGATATATATTTATATACCCTCCGATTTAGTTTATGTAAATCTCCGTTTTTATATAAAAATGCAGGTTAAGACGTATTTGCTTATGCTTCCCAAGGTACGCGTCCGCTCTCTTTCATTGTTCCAGGTAATTAAAGTCGGCAACATACCTATCTCGTCATCTTACACATTAAATACTCCAGCCGTTTACTAGATCTGACGTTTCCACTTACCAAACTTATTGCAACGCCAGCCATCGGACTCGATCAGAACATCACCGCCATGAAGAACCCTACTACTAGCTCCTGGAACTTCGGTATCTCTCGCAACGACGTTGAAAAGCTCCTCAGAGGCTTCAAGCCGGCAGCAATGGAGGACCGCTGGATGTGCCGCGCGGATGCGCCAAAAGCGCGTGGCGACTTTGTGGTGCATGTGCACAGGAGCTGGACTGGGGATGAAGTGCTTCGCATGAACGTGGCCTTGGCGGTTCCGGATGGGGACAAGGCGTGGGCACTCACCGATGAATATCAGGCCACGATAACCGACCTCACTTGGGACAGGGGAGAAGGCTCGTTCCTCGCTACCGAGTTAGAGGCCAAGGACCTAGCAACTGGTGTGTGCCGGGGCGTGCTGGGGTGTAACTTGTGAGCCATGCGAGATAGTCCCAAGCTAGGGGACATGTGTTAGTTTCCATATATAAAAAATGCACGTGAACGAAAAATTCTGAAAATAAGGTTGCCAAGTGGGAAACACGTAGGTCCCAAGCTCCTAGAGACGCTAACGCTGCAACAAAGTATTATATATGCTATAGCCTTATAACGCTATGCACGTTGGCTAATCTTAGCTTATTAACCTCGTATAATGTTGCTTTATCTTTTGTATTAAAAACGATTAGCTTAAATATTAAACTCTGGCTCATGAGTCGAGTAGCGTAGTGTATTTATTCCGGTCTTTCCGACGAGCTCATTTACACGGCTGAGCAAGGCTGGGCTCACAGAAAGACTGCTTATTCTTAGATATTAATATAGCATTAGGTTTGCCCTCAGCTAATCTAACCAAACTACTCATCCGCTATTTACCAGCTTCCTTTCTTCATTATTACATACCCTTGACCCTCTTTCTAATCACTTACTATTAAAATGCATGCCACAGCCTTCATCACCACATGGTTCCTTACTGCGAGGTTCGATTTATATTTAACCCAGCTTTATCTACCCTCAACATGGCTAATCACAGACACTGTTTTACAGCGCTGCAGCTCAGACGATCTACTGCTGCACCTCCAACGAGATGGAGCAGGTTGTGCCGGAGATAGACGAGACAGAGGTCTGCTGCCAGAGTTCTGGAGGTAGCATGCGGGATGTAAGCGATGAAAGTGCACACCTCTAACTTAAACTTTCAACTTGAAATGGTAGCTTACTTGATGTGATTATCAGTTCGAGTGCGTGCTAGATGTAGGGAACTTCGGTTTCAGCCAATGCTGCCGCCAGCAAACCACGTCTACATGCACCTTCTGATCTATGATGATCACAGGGGTTGGTGGCGCAACGGCCAAGGCAATACTATTGCACGTGGATGGTAGATGCGGGAGTATTTATCGACAATCATTCACCTTTGTTTACACAGGGCCCTGATCAAGCTGTTTATGAATGCTGCCGTCAACGAAATTTAAATGTCCTAAACTCTGGGACGAGTCCTTGAACGACGCAACCAGCGCGTGCCTGTCCATGTACACAAGCATGTCATTGGTGAGGTGCACCTTTACGCCGTCAACTTTGATCGTGATCAGCCCCTTGTACTACTTTAGATCCGTCACGGCGAGCACACCGTGGTCCAAAGCCCTTCCCTCAGTGACGAACGTCTTGTTAATGTAGCTCTTAAACGAGTCCATGGAGCTAACCGTCCACACGACCATCCTGATCTGGGAGTTTGTGAGGCGGATATGAACTCGATCTCGGACGCGTAGCTGTTCCTATTCTCGCACGTGTACTTCCTCGTCATCATCTTCACGTCTACGGCGGCAATCCTGGCGTGCACCGTGAGCTGCTTCATACTCGTGCTGTACTCCGGCCTCATAATCTTATCCTCGAACACGTGCAAGAGGTGGACAAGACGATCTTGGTGACCCTGCCCTCGTTTGTCCTTGCGCGGACCTTCAAGGTCGTGTTGGTGGGCATGCCGGTCTACCAGCTGCAGTCAATCTCCACGATGTCCTCCTAGAACACGACCCCGAGCACGCCCGTTTGTTCGCACGCGAATTGCCGAGCCCGTTTGCGATCCGCTCCGACTCTGTCGGTGCAAGGCACGGCCTTGGGGCAGTTCATCTTGATTGGACCGCGCTGGGTTCCGTCCTCGCAGGTGCCCGACCAACCAATCGGACATCTCCGCGCACATGCGCAATTCCATGTCGATGAACGTGACGGGGGACGTCTTGGCAATGGTGAGCGTATTCACATTAGAATTTAGTGTCAAGGCAAATGTTTATCAACGACCTTCTGCTTATGTACGAGAATACCCCGTGTACTTCCTCGTGATGGCGGCGATTAGTTCTTTCACGGGCCCCGTTTCCTGGGCTCGAAGACGTGCATGGCTGGCAGCATCCTCATCACTTCCGTCTCCGTGACCATGAGTGTGAACCCCTGCACGCGCAGGACCCAACTCCTCAGCTCAAGCACCACCCTTTGATTCATGACGAACTTAATGCTTTACGCCAGCTAAAGCATCCTCTTGGGCATAATCTTAATGCTAACGCCGCTTATTAACATTATTATTCTTTTAACCTTTTTTATTTATAAGCTATAATATTTTTTATTTTATTTATAATTTAATAAAATTTAAAATTTAAAATAAACTTTATTTATTATTTTTAATAATTTTAAAAATCTTAAAATATAATTAAAATAAAGTTAATTATTTTTAAATATTTTTTAAATTAAATTAATTTATATAATATATTAAAATAAGTTTTATTTTATAATTAAATATTAATTTTAAATATAAAAATTTATTTTTTTTTAAAATAATTTTAATTTTAATATTTATTATAAAAATAATTTTTAAAATAATAAATATAAAAAGCTTTATATATAATAATTAATTAAAAGAAAATAATATATCTTATAATTTTAATTATTTAATTATTAATTATTAATATTTATTTATTTATTATTTATTAATTTATATATATATATAATTTAAAAGTTATTTTATTTAAAAATAATTTAAATTTAAAGTTTTTGAATTAATTAATTAAAATATAAAATTTATAATTAAATTTAAATTTAAATTAAATTAAAATAAAAAGGAATTTTATTTTATTTATTTTATATTTTTTATATTTTTATATAATTTAATTATTATTATATTAAAATTTATATATTTTTAAAAAAAATTATTATTAAATTATATTAAATATTAAATTAAATCAACTTTTATTTTTAAATTTTTAAATTAATATTAAGTAATAATATTAAACTTTTTAAATTAATTAAATATATTAATTATAATAAATTATTTATTAATTAAAGTAATATATATTAATTAATAATAAATTTATTATATTTATATTAATTATATAAAAAAAGTAAAGTTATAATTATAAGTTATAAAACTCTTTTTTAATTTTAAATTATTTAAAAATAATTATATATTATTATATATAATTTTTACTTATTAATACTTTAATATTAATAATTTATAATATTTATTATATTTAATATTATTATTTCTTTATAATATATTAATAATTATATTATTAATTTTTAATTAAATAATTAATATATATTTTTAAATAATATATAAAAAAAGAAATTAAATTAAACTTAAAATTATTAAATTTAAAATATTAATTAATGAAATTAATTAAAAGTAATTAAAGGTATATATATTATTTAATTATATTAAATGCTTATAAAAAATAAATATATTAAATAATTTAAATTATTATTAAAAAGTTAAAAATTAAATATTTTATTTAAATATATAATTAATAATTATAAGTTTTTTTAATATAAATATATATAAATATATTTTAATTATACTAATTTATAAAGTATAAATTATTATAATTATTATATAAATATATTTTATTTATAATATATTTTATAAATTTATATTTTTATTATTTATAATATTTAAATTAAATATAAATTAAATTAATTCTTTAAATTAATAATATTTTTATTTAACTTTTAATTTATAATATATTTTAATTTATTTTAACTTTAATTAAATAAACGTTAATTAATTAAAAAAAATAAAAATAAAATAAGGTATAAAACTTAATAAATAAAGTATTTATATATAAAAAAAAAGATAAATATAAAGAATTATAAAGAAATTCTTTAATATTAATTAAGTTAATAAATAAAAATATATATAAAATTAATATATAAATATTAAATTATAAAGTTTAATTAAAAATGCTTATTAAATATAAGTTAATAACTTAAATATTTATAAGAAAAATAACTTATATTATTATGGGCTAGCCTTGGGTTATTTGCTATAAGGTGTTTAAATAGAGTTTATATTTAAAGTGCAAAGAAGAAGGTTTATTCCCTATTTATACCTATGCCAAAGCTTATTTTTATAAGGCTAAAGCCTATTAATTAATTATAATAAGCAAAGCTTAAACTATAATATATTCTCTTTTTTTAAGTTTTTATAATAAGCTTTAAAAGGTAATTATATAATAGAAAATAAAGAATATTATAATTTAATTATAAATTAAATATTGCTCTTTATTTAATTATTTAATTATACTTTAACGCCTTTTAATTATATTAAAAGCTTAGCTTATTATTTATAATTAATATGCTTTAGCCCTTATAATTTAATATATTAATTAAAATAAGCTAATAAAAGATAATTATTTAAGTATAATTTAATAGCTAAATTAATGGCATTTTTATAATCCTTTAATATAAGCTTTTTATATAAGCTCCCTTACTTAAAACCTTAAAATTATAAATTTATTATATAATTTATAATTAATTAATGCTTAATTATAAATAATTTACTTTATTAATAGGAATTTCTTAAGTTTTAAGTATTTTTATAATGCTAAATTAATTAATATATAGTTAATTTACTTTAAACTTAAGTTAGCATTAAGTTAATATTATTTTTAAGCCTTATTTTATAAAAAAAGTTTTATACCTCTTTAAATAAACTCCTTTTCTTTATTAGCCTTAATTAATAAAAGCTATATTCTTATTTTTTTATAATAATTAAGGTAATTATACTTATAATAGCTAAATTAGCTATATATAAAATACTTAACTTTATTTATTAAAATTACTATAATATTAATATTTATTACTTTATTATTTTAAGATTAAGTATTATTTTTTCTTATTATAATATTAAAAATACTTTTATATTATTATAAGGCAAAGTAAAAAACCTTAAATATATTTAACTATTTCTTATAATTAAGCTAAGCTTTTATTATAAAGGTTAAGCTATTAGCTATTAATAATATTTTATATTTATTTAATTAACTTTAAGCTTTTATTATATAAGCTAATTAATTAAATTAAGTAAGAAATTTTATTATTTCTTTTTTATAGCATTATTATAGCGTAATTAAGCTAAGCTTAATATGCTTTTACTTAAAAAGGTTCTTAAGCATAAGGCAAACCTTTTTTAAAAAGCTTTTTAGCTATTCTTTAAATATTTTTATAAAATTAATATAAAATAAAAATTAATTATAAAAAGTTTTTAATTAATTAAATATATAAAAAAATTAAGCCCCTTTAATATTAATTATTTTTTTATTTATTATAAATTTAGCCCTTATCTTTATTAGCTAAATTATTAAGTATTTTTAAGATAAGAATTCCTTTAAATAAAGAAGAGCTTAATAAATTGCTATTATTTTTTTTAAGTTTTATTATATTAAGTTTTATATAATTATATTATAAGTTTATAATATAAGAGGACTTTAAATATATATTATAAGCTAGCCTTAGGTTATTTATTATAAGGTATTTAAATAGGGTTTATATTTAAAGTATAAAAAAGAAGGTTTATTCCTTATTTATATTTATGCTAAAGCTTATTTTTATAAAGCTAAAGCCTATTAATTAATTATAATAAGCAAAGCCTAAACCGTAATATATATTATTATTTTTAAAAATAAAGCTTTTAATATATATATTAATATATAATTTATTTAATTTATATAAAAACGTTTTAAGCATTTCCTTATAAAACCCTCTTTATTTAAAAATAATAAGCTATTATTATTATTAATTGCTTATTTTAAAGCATTAAAATAAATATTTATATAAAGTAAATCGTTTTAATATTAATTAATAATTATAAGGTAATTATAAATTAAAAAAAGAAGAAGAAATATTAATTACTTATTATAAGAATTTAATATATTAAAATAATTTCTTATTAAATATATATTAAATATTAATTTTAAAGCTTAATAAATACTTTATACTTTTAAAAAAGTATTTTATTAAAATTTTAATTATTAAATATTTAATAAAATAAATTACTTAATTAAATTATTTAATTAATTACTTTAAGGTAATATAAAATTATTAAATATTTAATTAAATAATTTATTATTTTTAAGGGATATTATATTATATATATAATAAAAAGCAATTTATTTATTTAAACTTATTTTTAATATTACTTAAGATTTTATAATTTTATTAAAAATATATTTTTCCCCTTTTTATTTCCTTTTTCTTAATTTAATTATTTTTCTTATTATTTTTAATTTTTTATTTTAAATATATAAAGATTAAGAAATATATTTAAAATTAAAAAATATATTAAAAACTTTTTAAATCTTAAAAATAAGTTATAAAAAAAGCTTATTTAAATTATTAAATTAATTAAAATTTAGCTTTTACTTTTATTATAATTTAATTAATTAATTAATATTAATAAAATAATTAATAACTTAAATCTTTTAATTAATTAATTAAATATATTTATAATATATTATCTTTATTAATATATTATAATAAATTATTATAATTATAATTTATTTATAAAATATATTAATAATTTTAAAATTTATAAAGAAAAAATGTTTTTAAAAAATAATATAATTTTATTATAAAAGATAAATTATATTTTTAAATATAATAAAGTTTATATTAAGAAATTAAGTTAAAGCATTTTATTTATATTTATAAAAATAATAATATAAAAAGATTTCCTTAATTAGCTAAATTATTAAAATATAT